TACTGCATGAAGCAGGTTGTAAGATGAAAATTTTCCCTCAGGCGGAGAGAGCTTGCTTTGAATTCATACCGTACCAGAAGACAGTCTGAGGTGGGCTGGACTTTCAGGGTCCGCGGCCTTCGTGCCGTGCCTCCCGCAAAGTGTGCTAACCGACCCACCATTTCAGGACGACGATTCAGCATGCATCGTCGCTTTTCGCCTTCGTTTTGTCTGCGAGTCTTGAGGTGAGTGCGGTGTCGATATGCTGCTCGATATTAAGAAAACAGTTTCTCGTTTGTGGCCTGCATATTGTGTGTGGACAGGCCAACCGTGGGCGCTGATGGAGGGTAGCAGTAGCCCTCACACCCTTCCAATCACCGTGTCCCATATTCCCCTCCTGCTCAGAAATCAATAATCTGTCCGTTGCTTCCTGGTGATGTGCATGAAATTGCCTCCCACCCTCGATGAGCAAGGGGCCCCCCAAGTGCCGTTATTGGCTGGGCGGCAGACCAGGTTGCGGTGGGCTTTATTTTTCTTTTCTTCTGTTGGTCAAGGTTGACCTTGCCAGAATACATTATCGTATCGTCAAACCTGTCACGTCGCACAAAGGCTTGGTTTGCATGCTCAAGGCGACGACATGCTATGAAACGGCGAAGCGAGCTGGGCCGGGTTTCCATATAGGGAGACGACCTACACAAAGTTGTAAATGCGTGTGCAGATAGCTAACATGTGTGCTGCAGCATATTTTTACGTTAGTATTTGATAATTTCAACTGCTTGCTGTGGCGAAGGCCGCGTCAACAGACAAGGCTACATATCTTGGCTGCTTGATTTTATCTTAGTCTGCCAAATCTACGAGGTTTTGGTGTAAGTGCTAGTAAGCACCGTTCTTTTCCTACAAGCACCCCGTATCGCTGTAATGGCAATCTCCCATCTCAAAGACTGGGGTTTTGGAGGAGTACAGGTAGCTGTATAAACTAGACATAATCCGGAGAGATTGATCTACGAGAGGCTGAGCGGCAATCTAGCAAGGGCTTCGTCTTCTCCCATCCGTAATGATTGTAGATTTTGTTGCCGTACTTGTATAGCGGTCGATTTTTAGCGCGTCGCGAAGAATGACCTTGACTCTCTAGCCGGTGGATCCCCTTTCTTCCATTTCTCTTTCGCACAGAAGTCCAGATTCGGATTGATGCTCCGAGAGCTGCATGAACTGCCGGGGTGCATGTTATTCAGCAAATCTGGGCAGCGCTTGTCCTTTCCGAAAACACGCATGGAGGGTGTGGAAATGCTGACAAGGCTTAATGAGAGATGAGAGAGAGAGAGCGATAGCAAGGGTCTGGCATGGCAGCCCAGGGGGGGGGGCCTTGACGGCCATGGGGGGGAGGCCAACTGAAGCGACCTGAAATAGGCCCCTGTCAAAAACTTGCTCTCGTAGGATCTTGTTGTTGGCTCTATCTTTTGCTATCTCTCTCCTAAATGTAAGTAGGCGGGTGGCCAAGGACTCATTCAGCCCATCCTTTTCTCAGGCCTATATTCTAGCATGGCAAGGCACGCCAGATGGCCCAAGTGTCTTTTTTCGACTTTCTTCCTTTTTTTACGAGGCATCGAATCGCACGACCCTGTTGAGCTTGGTCCATGCCTAGGTCCAATGGCATCTGAGAGCTGAGAGGAGAGCATGGGGAGGAAGAGAATCTCTACTACCGAGCAGACGATCTGCCTAGCTTCCAAGCTTCCAAGCACTAGTTCAATATTGGAATGACATTTGGGCTGTGACTATCTATCCGAGTGGACTAGGTAGCGGATGCCCTATTGGGCCGGCGGACAGAGTATTGGCAGCCTTTTTCATCTTGCAGCTGTCTCCACGTTGCCGTGGTATTGACAGACGGGCTGCAAACGAGCTGAGCTGGATGCCAAGGCTTCCCAGACTTGTCGAAAGAGGCTGCTGTCAGAACCCGTCTGTTCGGCGACCACGACGGACGATACACTCCCCTCCATGCTCGTCTTGCGGTACACTAGCCTCACTTTTTGAACAGATAGCACCACCCCTGAGTTGAGAGCGCGAAGGATCTGGGCGAATTACATGCTATTGATGCTCATCGATATGTCACTAACACTAGATTGGGATTTTGGGGCTGAGAAGAAGCTTTAGGGGGGTGAGTTGAGGGGACGAATAGATGTTCCTGTTGCCTTGAGTATGGAATGGCGCTATACACGATTTTGGCATGGCGATGGGAGGATTGGCGAGAAATTGAACGCTTTTGGACGAGGATTTTGGGGATATTACGCCAGCACTAGCATTTTGATAACTCTCGTGGCGATGTCTTGTGCTTGGCAAGAGGGCTCTGGGGGTGGATGCATATTACACGTATATCTGGCTTGTGATGGGCTGCCTCTACGATTGGGCCAGCAGATGGGGGGAGAGGTAAGCATGATTTGAGCCTCAATAGAGGAAACGACTAGTTTTGAGCCATGAACCATTGGCTATTGGGGGCGTATTTGGTTCTAGCTTCGATGCTGATATTGATGCTGTGTATATCCTATAGAGGCTGCTTTAGCGCCGATATAAAATACTGAGAGTTTCGTTAAAACAAGCACCTTGACTGGCACAGGAGCGGTTTCAAATGATCTGCCTCGGTTGAAAATATCCTCTGCATAATGTATAGTCATAAGTGACAGGAAGAAGAAAAAGAGATAGAAAAAATATATGAAGGATCGTGACGGCGTTGTCCGCGACTACTGCTATTAGCGCCTGTATCTTATCATTTTTCTTGTTCTGAGACACGGGCTAAGTCACTACTTGGGCATGAGCACAGCACGGATTTAGAACGTCCAAGGAATAAATTGCCCAACTACTAAAGACTAGCGACGGAGTTTGGCGAAGAAAGGAAAGAGTTAGTAGCAGCAGCAGCAGTAGTAGTTGGTAGTCGTTTTGAAGTTTGGAGATGCTACGCCTTGACGAATGAGCCTCAACTGGAGACCTCGTGCACCGAGCCTGATGTGGACGCACTTTGCGAACACAGGGCTGAGTGGGCCGGCCTTGTGAGTCCATGTTACAAATCCTCCGGGCGTTGGTATCAGGATTTTCATGTTCATTGTCTTTTTTTTTCTCCGCTTGAACCCAAGACAGTGGTTAGGGCTGCTCCAACAGCAACATCAGTAATCAAGGGAAAGATGTAGAAGAAGAAAAAGAAATTTCCAATGGCATCAGCAGCGCCCGCTCGGGTGATCATCAGCCACTCCGCTAAGGGATGCGGTTCTTCCTTGGGACTAACGTTTTATTAGTGGTGAGAACTTGACATCAGTGTTTTGTATTTAACCGTTTAGACAGAGCACGATGTTACAATCAAATTTTAGAAATAGACAGGAAAAGAAGATTGATGTAAATGTAACTACCTCGTATCAGCCTTGGGGAAAGAAGGGAAAGAGGAGGAGGCATCTGTGTGTGCACTTTTGCAAGGGATGCCAAACAATAAAATGGCACGGGTAGCAGCCAGCATAAGAGCCGGGCGTCGAAGGCTAAAAGTGACAGCTGGGATATCGGCCCGTGGGCTCGTCTTTTTTCCCCCCTCGTCTCTCAGTGTCATAGCTCATGGAAACTTACCAGCACGGTGGTTTGGGCTTTTGCGAGTGGTTCTGTGGTTCCAACAGAATGGGTCGTTGTTGGAGGGGAGGGGTGAATGAAAATTGAAGCTGCTGGGAGCAAACAATTGTTAGTTAGCTGGTTGGCCCGAGTCGATGTGATTCCAGCACGATGGCCTGCTAGCCTGGACTAACTGCCGCCTTTTCTCTCTCATCACACACGCCCTCGCCTCTGTGTACTTGATGTCTAAGCGTATATGGCATCATCGCCGCCCAGAATCCTCTTTCCATCGCCAGTCCCGTGTTCAAAGGCGCCTGCGGGCTTCCTCCTTTGCGGGACGCCAAACATGGCAGCTGGGCGAATGAACGCGTGTCCCGGCTGGGTGGATGGACGAGCACGGACGAGGATCCAATCACACGGCGGGGCCCGATGAGGCTATTCGGGACTGCGCCTGTCACGGTACCCTCCCAGTTGTGGACGGCTTCTGCTTGTCAAAATGCAAATCAAGTGGGCTTTTCCAGCTGCCAGTAATATTGCCCTTCTTCTTTGTTCTCTTCGCTCTATTACTCCTTCCTACAGCTAGTGCTATATGCACTCGCATCTGTGATGTGCATGCATGTACCCAATTGCCTGCTAGTTGATGTCAGACGGGATGCCGAGGCGGTTCGCCATATCTCATCCCGTGTTATACTCTGCCTAAATGCACGTCTGGATTTGCAGCTCAAATGGTGCTTGAATGGGTCATCTTACTGCTGCTAACTATGTACATGCACGGTTATTATACACACGCCCACACCTTGATGGACGCAGAAGAACAAGAGAAAATAGCGATTGACCGGATCCATCCAACCAACGACCCAGAATATTACTCCCAAATCTCACCAGGCAGACGGGGATCGGCCCGCCCATTGGCTAGGCAGCGGTTCCATTCCAAGAGAACAGGACAAGTAGCCTACCACTCCATCGGGTACAAAGAACTGTTTGTAATTTCCATCTCTTACTCTCGCTCATCTGTCATTAATTGGCTTCGGCCTTTTGTTGTCCCCTTTCACATGGAACCTACAATAGTACCTTTTGTCTTGTGGAGGCGCTGCCCTGTTTCTAGAAGTCAGCGTCGACGCCCGTAGAGTGTCTCAATTCCAGGATTCGCAGCGCCACCATATCAAATCAATCATATGTATCTTTCCTAATTCCAGTTCCTCCCATTTTCTTACATGCAACGACGCTATCTCGGCTGACTGCCTGTTTTCCCTGCTGCATGACCACCGCCTTTGCGCCACCAAAATTGGCAAGCGGCAGAAAAAGGGAAAATGTGGCTTTGTCTGATTTCTCACCGAAGAACCCCCCAATAAGGAGCTCGGCTCAGCCTTGTTTGCTTCGCCGAAGGAGCACGCCGTTCTTGCATGTCTGTGCATGTATGTAACACTACCTACTAGGTGTTATCATCTCCATTCTATGCACTCCAGACTGTAACCCTGATGGCCATTGGCCGTGCCCTGCAGGTAGGCGCCCGCCTTTTCTGTCTCGGAAGTAGGCGAAGTTGTATCCCGGAGGAGCGGCTGGACAGCTGCGTTGGTTCCCCGACGGCGAGTCCTGTTGCTGTCCTTGCAGCATGCAGGTGCAGTGAGGGTGGAAACCACGGCAGGCTGGAACTTTTGGTGGCTATTGTTGGTCTTTGCTTGTGTGGAAATTGGACGTTGTATGCATGCAGCGCTGCATGGGCGGTTGATGGAACCCTGATGAGACTTGGCAGGACGAATTGGCGAGCGCGCCGAGTACCAATGGCGAATGTACATGCATACTGAGCATATCTCATTATTATCTAAATTAGAACAATTGAGCACCCAATCCTCAAATGCATCAAGTAGATGCAGGACCAATTTACTTCTACATAATCTGGCTCTCTCTTGGCGTTCAGCAATGTCCTCCAGGAACAACTCTTCATTGCCATTTTATCTTAAAAACCATCAGTATTTAATAAATTGTAATGTACTCTAGATTGATCGAACCATTGTATTAGCACTATATGTGGTATTATATATCTTCCATGGAGCTTCATCTAAGTTCACTCCGTTGCTTTTTACTTGAAGAATCTCAGGTTCTCGAAAATGTAGCCAAAAAAAATCAGGATCTGGCACGCGAATTGGCCCATCTAAATGCTCCATAGTTAAAGCCTTGATGCCCACTACCATTGTTCATTGTGGTGAGCAAAGCTGCAACACTGAACAAGGCCCGCATGGTTGATCAAAACTACCTATCTTGATCGACCCCCCCAACGATCATAGCAGCATTGAGATCAGTTTTTTTTTTTTTTTGGGAAAACTCTGCTTCTTGGCCTAATATAATTTGTAATAGGTAGAAATACTGCCCGCAATTGCTATTTGGTTCTCCAGAGTAAGACACGCCACAAAGGAGAGTCAGTACTGGTGCTGTCGATGCTACTGGTGTTGCTTTTAGTGTATTTAGTAGTTAATTATTCATCCTATGAGCTGACTGTCTTGCTGAGCTACGATTGGAGTGTTGGATAGTGAATTTGGAGTGCTGAATAACATTTCCTTTTAAAACGTCAATGAGAATCTTGCAATCGTGTAAAGTATGTGTCATTGATTAGGCTATTCTGGTACAAGCTGGACTTTCTCTGTTCTGAGGTGGTAGCACCCTCATTATGTTAGAGTAGTAACACTTATTCCTATTCCGCCGTCTCTATTGTCTTCTCCTTTTCTGTCACTCGTCTCAGATAGAAGAGCAACGAGCTGAGCATGATAGGACGACTATTCGTCAAGATAATTACAGCGAATAAATAGACCCTTATCTCGTGAACATATTGCTCTCCCCAAATCTCCTCATTCTAGTTTTACCTCATTCTAGTTTTTGAAGAAAGGCTTGTTGAGAGAGGGTTTAGTCTGCCTCTGAGTAGAGGTTAGTTTTAGAGGTGGGTGAGAAGGAGACATCAATGTGACGATACCGACTGAGTATTTCTGGGCATCACATACACCACCTAAGTCTGATTGATAAGTAGACATCCAAAAAGAAATGATTAAGACAAATTCCGAACAGCTGAATATTGAACAAAGACATTCGCGATACCAAGATCGTGAACGACCCGGTTTTTTTATCTTTAGTGCATGCTTAATATATAAATTAAAATATTTGGCAGCCAATCAGATTGCCCCTATAGCTCAGCGGTAGAGCGTTGCACTTGTAATGCAAAGGCCCATAGTTCAAGTCTGTGTGGGGGCATCTTTTTTTGCCTGTTTTAACTGCTTGGCCGGCGAAGCTGATCTTCCTTTTCCTTTTTTCTCTTTAAATCTGCGTAACCTCTACCTATGCTCTGTCATCTTTGCAATGACTTACCTGGAAATCTCATCTCATGCAAACGCTCGTACTTCTGCTTTTGGCCGTGCCAAGTGAAGCCCATTGTGCGTGGATTCCGCGAATAGACCAATGCATGTATATAGCATGGATAGCTATAAGTTTTAACTGTCTGCATACTCGACAAATTGGCTATCAAGTAGACCTCCCAACGCTATCAGGTGACAGTCGGAGGCTTATGTTATTCTGTGCAAGCTGTGTAGCGTACCAATGTAAGAAGCAATGAAGCAAGATTATTGAGAAAGAGCACAAGACGGATAAGGCCTCTACGCCGGACGAAAGCTTCCATAGAGGAATAGTAAAAAGGATGGATATCTGGGTTGTGGTGAAGCTGCTGGCCTATAGATGTATAGATAGGCAACCGATTTCTAAACGCCCCGTTGCTCGTCCATTTCAGACACCACAACGCTGCCTGAGCGTTCTTAACAATGACACACCTATTACATTTTGCTCTGCTTCACAGCAAGGCGGCGAACAGACCCGGACACTTAACGATCATAGGGCTTGGGAGCAGATACGAGCCTGCACACACCGGGACGGCAAAAGGATACTTTGGGAGATACTTCGAAGATAAGGTGTGATCAAGTTGTGCGCAGGACATTTATGAGGCGACTAAGCAACAACACATTGGCAATGGGTGGATTAATCTTGCTGGTTCACCTGATCGAACTCGGGTTTTAGAATGGGTATTCTCACTGCAAGACGATCTTCTCTTAAAGGAGAAACGTTATTACTGTGCAACAAAATCCATGACAGAGCTTATTGGAGGGGAGGCATGTCCTCAGATTGCTATAGTTGTCAGGACAAAGACTAGGAAGTTATTATATGTAGGCGATATTCGAAATAAGACGACACCGGTTCTAAGTAATTGTACGCACCAATAGTCAATGCATTTGATGAAATTATTAGGGATATGATGATCTGGATTCTTATAAAGGATATCGCCTGAGATGGCAAGTGGGCTTGATGAGGGTAGTGTGTCATGCTATCAGAGAGATTGAACAACAAGAAAGTACACCGTCCGTTATTGTAGGATTAGTACTGTAATGCCATTTTTTCTCAAGTGATGAGAGCCACATTGACGCAAGGCGACTTCACATCAAAGGTAGACGCAGCTCAGGCCTCATGCGTAGACGCCAAACCCTGAAAGAAAACATAACATTGAGATAATGTTCATCAGCGCTCTGTTCATTTGAACGCGCAATTTATTTGTTCATATCATCCCTGCGTTCAGGTACTTGAGCAGTGTAAAACCAATATTTGACTCTGTAGACTGCTATAAAACCCCTTTCTCATCTTACACGATTTGGACGCGAAGATTTGCCAATGAATCCAATGGGAATCGTATTCGCCAAACTTGACATTTCCAAGCCTTCTCTGCCTTCTTCATTCAAGACCTCATTCAGAGATCAACATCGTGGACTTTCGGAACAGACATAAGCAATTGCTCGCAATATAGCACAGCTGTCATGGAGTTGGAGCACAGGGGAAAAATAACCCGAGTCGGTTGTCAAACTATCTGGTTCAAGGTTCGGCTATGCCGCTCTCTATTGCAGTTATATTTCGATGAACCGAATATTGTGCCGCGCCCGAGGTTGATAGACGATCAGCGAGCTCTCCTCTAAGAGTGGGCATTTGATGTGGGTGTCTTTGGGCAACAAGTGCCTAATACTCCGTTAGAGGACAGGCTGGAAACAGACCTGTGGTCCTGGCGATTATAGATGAGCTATTGAATGTCATTCATCGTGAGTTGAAGTGTTGTAAGTGTCTTACTGCTGATATAAGATTGGGTGAAGAAGAAATTCAGCTTAACAGAAGCCCCGTGATAGTCAAGCCAATCAAGTATTGATTCGTTGATAGGGAAGAGATACAAAAACATAATGCATCAGTCATCGAAACCGTTGGAGATTTTATACAACGCCTCTATATAGTACCTCCGCTTATTCCAACGCCTCCTGCCATCTTGGTTGGGAGTAGGGGAAACGAGAGCCCGTAGAGATGACAGAAGCAAACAGCGCCATCGCAGAACTGCGCCTTTATGAGGAGATTAATGAAAAAGTTAGCTGGTACTTGGAGCTGAGTTGTAAGCCACAAATAGCTCACTAGATAGATTGTCATAGATGAAAGCAAATTAGGAATTCAATGATTTATTCTAGAACTTCATCTCATACATATGGTATTCTATATCTTAAGACTTGTTTGTTCTATACGTGTTTAGCCTGAAAGGTAGAGTCTCTCTTCACAAAAAGTCTTGGTGTTACGACTGCTATCTCGTACAAGTAGAGACCGCACACTAGATGATCTCACAAATATTATACATACCTGAGAACTCTTGTAAGAGTAGTGAAAGTCCAACGCTCAAGTCCGAGCGCCTCTGACACATATGGATCCAATGTGGCCTTGGAATACATGTACACTCTGCACGGGGCATACAGAGCCCAATGGGTTCGCGCTTGGGCGCGAATATAAATTTGCCATGATGCATTCCTTTCAACACTGAGCCATCTTTGTTCTCTCCTCTTTTTCGTGCAAAATTGGCCTTTGGAGGCTTCTTCCTCGTCGTCCTCCCCCATCTAGTTCAGGCTTAGGAGTCAGGAGTCAGCAGACCTATGATACCAAAGTGCATTTATCTAGATCTATGTACGTAGAGAGATGATGTCTGGATCAACAATCAAGAGACGACCCGTGCAAGACCTCTATGTATACGACATGGTGGCGCCTACAACGCGGCCGATGGTTGAAGCTCAAACCGTGGCATGGCACGAAACCTCCGAGTGGCAGCGGGACAACAGATACATCCTCAGCGGCTATCGTCCAGAAAAAGCAGACTACGTGGAGATTCTCACCAGCTTGACGTTTTTGCACAACGAGACTTGTAATGTGTACACCCACCTGATCGGAGCTCTGCTCCTACCGCTCATCGCGTTCGGTGTCATGCAGATTCTCTCTCAGCCTCAGTTCTTCGACGTCTCGAGATCCGACTATATTATATTTGGAATATTCTTTTGTTGCGCAGAGTGTTGTTTGATCTTCAGTACTATTTACCACCTAGTGGGATCTCACTCACATGCAGTCGAACAATTCTGGCTCAGAATGGATCTGCTAGGGATTGTCATTGTCACCGTTGGCACGTTTATTCCGGGCATCTATTACGTCTTCATCTGTGAACCAGTCCTGCAAATAATACACTGGGCGATTGTTAGTTAACCCGAACGCCCAACCGCTTTCTCTTCATCTTTCCCCCAGTCAGGCCCATTTCCTGTGATGTAGCTGACATGAAATCTAGATCACATCTTCAGGCTCAGTCACCGCTGCATTAATCTCGATGCCCAAGCTGAGAACGCTACGCTGGCGGAAGGCGAGGACGGGCGCCTACGTTGCGCTTGGTGCATCAGCATTCATTCCCCTACTGCATGGAGTTCAACTGTACGGGCTAGAGTATATGCTTCAGTACGCAGGAATGAAATGGTATCTGCTAGAGCTATTCTTCTATGGCTGTGGAGTTGGTCTTTATGGGGTAAGCCGACACGCTCGCTGATCTTTTCTATTACTTAGGAGGCAATATCCTGACCGGCAATTATAGTCTCGAACTCCTGAGCGCTTCGCCCCAGGCAAATTCGATATCTGGGGCAGCTCACACCAGCTCTTTCACGTCTGCATATTATGTGCCATGTATATACATATAACTGCCCTTGTGCAGGCTTTTACAGCATGTCATACATCGGACGTATGTAGTATCCAGGCCGCTTACCGAGAAGGCCACAGATAAGCAAGAAAGCTTGTTTTCAATGTTATAAGATCCTCACAGCCGTTCATTTATGTCATAGCTTAGTAATAGGCACGCGCCCCATTCGGATACATACCTTTCTGATAGGATATTGCGATGCCCGGAACTTGCGTAGGTTGATATATTCAAAGGTTTCGCTCCAAACTCTTTCAAATCTTTCCATCGTCAGCATTGTATCCCTCACTAGGACTACGAGAGGCTTGTTTTCCTCGCCTCTCTCTTTACAATGAAGGACCGCCATGCCTAATCCCCTACGGCCTCTACCAATGAATCGTAACTCCAAATGAATACCTCTACTACTCACAGTCATTGGTCCGCTAGGATTTCCAAAAGGGTTGTATTGAACGATGTTGCTGGAGTCGATAAATGCATTCGCAGTTGTGACTAGAAGGCCGCCGCGGATATCTGAAGATTTCCAGGCAAATAGGCTGTGAGCGTCTGAAATCTTCAAAGTTTCCTCTTGTAATCTAATAAAAGCTCGTTCGCTTTCTCCATAAAGTAACGGTATATTGATGCTAAATATGCCCATCAGACAATAGGCGCGATCTTCAACCCGTGTAGTCCTTCTATTTGAAGCCCAGGATATCCTTTTCGCAACACTGGCAGTTTTTAGGCTGTCGCCAGCTAAGATATTGACCGGTATTTGCGTAGAATCGGAGATTGCTTGGCGTAGACTTGTCTTGGTTCCCAAGTCTTTCCAGTCTTTGTTGACAAAGTATACCTCAGATGGTGCGAGCAGCTCTTACAAAGTCCACACCCTCATAAACCACTCGCTTTTCTTGAAGGTAGAAATCGACTGCACATCAGAAAGATATGCGTAGCATTTGGTGGACTGGTAGTACCAAAGATACATGGAATTGATTGCCTCTGATAGCTCTGCTTGTCTTTCAATGCAGCATGAGTCGATCCAAGCATATCTGAAAGAGTCGGATCTGGCTCTGGCACAGCAGTCTCTTATCTTATTGAACGACCCAAATTTGGCAAGGTCATTCTCGAATCCCTTCTTCATCCATATATACGGTTGTTCACATCTTGAAAGGTAAGCTCGTATGCACCACATCTATGGGATAAAATGGCATATTTCGGAACTGGGCTGAACCCAATTTGTTCGAACTCCAAGGTGTCGGTTTCCAGCAATCTGATGCTCATGGTGTATATCTAATCAATTCCTTGGTAAGTTCCGATACATTTGATGTGCCCATAGCAGAAAAGGAAAACAACCTACAATTTGTCTCTCAGAAGCGGTAGCGGGGGAATATGTCAACACTTGTTAATACGATGGTCGCTTGATAGCAGCTATGTGAGGCAACACTAGACCAAAACGACTGGAGCGACTTGTCAGATTCTATGTGGGCCATGACTGCCCAATGATAGTACCATCTCCACGATGATACGCGCGCGGCATCCTTGCAGTTGGTGATGAATATTGATACTACTAATATTAGTAGTACAAAGCCACAATTACAGCGCCATGTTACGGTGCGTTGGTGATAAATATTGAGTCCCAGGGTTGTGGTGGATCAAAGAGACGGCACGCGAGGTCATATTTAACCTACTGGGGCCCTGAGACGCCAGACGCCAGCCGCGCGCCTTCAATGAAACGCCGCGCCAATCGGTGAGAGACGACGTAGCCACTGTTCCACCGGAATAGCCGCTGGGGAGCGGCGATCTACGAAGATGGCACAAGAACTCGGTAGCGTTGCTTGCGGTTCGCAGTTTCTCCTACTGTATTACTGTGTCTATACCAGGGTCTCTCGGAGTAACTGCCTCTTTGGTAAGACTTTCGCGTCCCAGCTTCAAGCGAAGAACCTAAGTTGAAACTACTATATACATATAACTTGTACGAGGGCGCGAATTCTCTATATAAAGCTTGGATCATAGAAACTTTTAACTACAAGTGTCTGTCATCAGAATATTTTTTACCCTCGCTTAAAGCCAGCCAGAGCCACACGGTTCATTGAGATCGAAGTTGCTCAACGCCTATTAGAAAGACTACTTTGACTGAATTGACTTTAAGCGAGTAGCAAAGACATTAAGAATATTCCAAAATCTTGTCCGGCATGACTCTCACGAGGAGCAAAACCATGTTAGTAACCTCATTCCATAGCAGGCTTCACCTTCTTTACGCTTAGTTTCACTCCAACTAACACAAGCGATGAAACAGGGCTTATACCACGCCGAACCCAAAGCTTCAAGCCGTGCGTCGCATACTCCAGGGCTTGAATCATAGTCCGTATGCCGAATCGAGCTCGGCTACTCGCATGAGCAAACGCAAGCGAGAGAATGGCACTGCCATTGAGGTATTTCCACTCTTGGAATTAGATGCAAAGAAGCGCCGAGTTTTGCCAGATGAAGTTCTCTACACGAGCGATGATATGGGCGAGTCCGGAGTAGATTGTGCGATTTTGATGAGAAAACACCTAGTATCCTTGCACCAGGGATTGCAGGCCCAATGGAATTGCGTGTGTCGGAGGTGCTCGGGCCTGGGTATGAGACTCTCACTGCCACAACGGAAGAAGAAATCTCAAATGGAAACGACGTTCGACGCGTTCTTCGGAATACAATCTCAATCTGAAGTTACATTCCACGAAGCCAAGATCACAGTCAAGTAAGTCTTTGAGGCTTCGTGTCTACTACCCTTTCTAATATACTTGGAGCTAGGAACGTACAAAACGATCAGGCTCTAGGCACGTCTCTAGGCGCGTCTGAGCTTGCACCTGGCGTCTTGCCCGACTTTGCGGACATCTGCCAGTGTATCACGGAGTCGTTGGATCAACAGAACAGCATGCATCTTCTCTTTGAAGACGGATTGTTTAAGAAGCTCCGCCCGCAGCCAAAGTCTTTTGGCGATTACCAACTGCCTCGCACAGTGTCTCTGTCTGCTCTGTTTAAGCGTCAACAAGAGTTAAGCGGCGGTTCATCGGTTTTACCACTCAAAGGAAGACGAATCCTAGCGCTTGTACTTGCTACAGCGCTACTTCCATTCCTAGAGACCCCTTGGGTACAGTCTTCGTTCAACCACTCAATGATTCAGTTTTTCCAGCCGGTACAGGACGAGGAGCTACCTGAGATCACAAAGCCCTTCCTGGTCATGGACCAAGATTCAGCTTTCTCGGCTGACAAGACGAGCACTCAAAGTAACCAAGCCGAAACGACTAGTTGTGAACACATGGTACATCCCAATCCCAGTGTATTAGCGCTCGGGACTCTGCTGTGTGAACTTCACTACTGCACAACCATAGAGACATGGCAAAATGATACAAAGGCGCCCCGAAATGCCAACACCAACTATTATTCCAGCCGCAAGCTTCTCAAGAACTTAGAAGTGGACGCCAGTTCAGACTACTATCTCGCTGCTAAAGCATGCATAGAGTGGGGCTATTTTCCTAACGGAGAGCTTTCTACCTTTGAATCCTCCAAGGTTCAGAGCCTTTTCTATCAGAATGTTGTCAAACGACTTGAATCTGAGATATTCAAGTCGTGGCATCTACGGCTGGAGGATTTGAGCTCTCTTGACCCTCGCCAGAATGAACTCTGCTGGGGCCCAATTGGCCGAGAGGTTGTCTCTCGGCAAACAAACATGGTCAAGTCTGAGTCTTCCGCCACAAACAGCGACGAGCTGAAGGTATACTTGCCTTCAGCCTCCAATATGACGCCTTTGGGCTATATCTCGCACAACCAGGTCATTCCTATGCAAATTCCGACCCAAAACACTCGGAGCCTCCAAAATCCTTTACATCACGAGAAATACTTTAAGAAAGGCTTGCAGTTTTTTGATGCAAACAATCTTACGGCTTCCAAACAAGAGTAAGCCGTTCTTTATGTTTCGTGAGAATTTCTTGTGAGAATTTTACTTACTAAACTTGCACCAGAATCGAACTGTCGGAAAAATGGATGGAGAGACTGTTGTCCTCTATTTATCGTCATGTTGATTCGTACGATACTGCTATGCAGCTGTCCGCGAAAGCCATCAGAAACAAGTCAACAGCATTCGAGCCAGTTCGAATAGCAATTATAGATACTGGATTCGATCCTAAGAACCCGCTTATAATGGATCATGATCATCGACGACTCGATTCACGGATCAAGGCAGCGCAGAGCTTTGCGAATGGAGCAGACCCCCGGGATATTCAGGATGTAGTCGGACACGGCACTCATGCTCTTGGACTCCTTCTTACAGTAGCCACAAGCGCTGAAATTTACATCGCCAAAGTTGCAAATCAGGAGAATGTGGAACGTGACAGCTACAACGCCATCGCAAAGGTAAGACTCCTCAAGTATATTACAACGCAATTTTTGCGCATCTGCTAATGGCTTGGACAGGCGATCAATCATGCAGTCAACGAGTGGAAGGTAGACATCATATCGATGTCGTTTGGGATCCGTGAATATTATGAGCCCATGAGAGCAGCGGTATCAAATGCATTACACAGCCAAACGTTGATGTTCGCTGCAGCATCAAACGATGGAGCCAACTTCGGCCGATGCTTCCCAGCCAAGTACCCTGGCGTCTTTTGTATCCACTCGACTGATGGGAATGGAAATCCTTCTGGATTCAACCCTACGGCAGACGAAAGAGATGTCAACTTCAGTCTGCTTGGAGAGCATGTCCGTTCGCACTGGCCATCTGGAAAGGTTGGCTATAACAACGGTGCCAATGTCTTGTCGGGAACTTCAGTCGCAACACCAATTGCCGCGGGACTTGCCGCTTCGGTCCTATCCTTTGTTCGGCAGCGAGAATATGGCTTGCCTGCAGGAACTGATTTGCTGGGACCGTGGCTGAAGGATGCCCATTCAATGGATGCGGTTCTAAAGAGCATGGTCAGACAGAGAAGAGGAGCGGGCTATGACAATATCACGCCCCACACACTATTTGGTTCATATTCATCAAAGGAGGAGGTTTACAGCAAGATCAAAGATATCAGGGAGCACATGTATGACTAGTAGCTTGAGAGTTGAAGTAGTTGACGGATTGTTTTACCAATTTTGCTATTCAAAACGAGTCTTATTACTATATTAGATACAAGTTAAGTAAGTTAACACTTGATAATTATGATGGAGCTATTACTCGAATGAACTATTGTTACACGGCCCCAATCAGAAAAAAATTAATGAGTAGCGCAGAAGATGAAAGAGTGCTCTGCACAACAACAGAAACTCTTCAACATGATTCAGCCCATTCACGAGGTTTGGACGAGTGGTGAGAGTACATGTAGGGCCGCGGTGAATGGGTGCACCTTACAAGTACAAATTACTACAAATTCTGTCGCACAAGAACACCGCTTGTGAGAGCCCTTAGATGATCTGCTTTTCCCGAGCGACGGCCGCTGAGGATATATTTAGTATGCCACTGTCCGTTGAAGAGCCACCATTTCGTCACAACACCTTAGGCGCGCTGGGTAGGAAGCTCAGGGGTTCTGGTGGGTCGCGGAGGACATGAAGATGCGCGCTTTTATGTTTATACGTAACCTACTGGGCTCCACGAGCCATGAACCGCGCGTCTTCAATGAACCGTCGCACCAAGGTAGCCGCTTGGAAGCGACATGCTTGCAATAAAGGCGCAAGAACAGGCCATGTTGACTGCAGCTCGCGATTCTTTCTGTTATGCTGTTGGACCTGTACGTAGGCTCTCGGAATCATTGCCCATTCTGTACAATTTCTGCGTCCCAGCCTCGTGTGACGAAACACAAATTGAAGCCCATTGCATCCTTCGGCAAGTTCTCAACTTACGATTATGGGTCACAACACTCGCAGGGCTACTAAAAACATTTTGAGTTTTTTTGTTGGTCGAAAGCAACCGAAAAGGTCAATACTGCCTACTTCAGTGAAGCAACGGCACGAGGCCTAGGTGCAGACAGACGAGCGTTTGCCATACGAAATTGATCATTTGGATACAATGACCTTTAACAAATATTCAGAGCATTGAGAATGCTTAAAACCCGACTCCATATGACTCCATTCGGGAATAGCTTCCTGTCAGTAACTGTATTACACTGCCAATTCTTCGCGTGTTCAGGGGGAGATTGTCTGGGAGAAAAGATGACTCCATGGACTCCCCCATGCGGACCGGAAGTGCCATGCCGGCTACATGTAGTCTATGCTGTTGGTGACAGCTTGTGATTGCGACGCTGAAGATGTTTGACGCTAGCTTGTGATGGAAGCGACTTTAAATTTAGACGTACTTAGAGCGTTTGAAAAAAACATTGAAGCGGCGATGAGGCGTCATGTACATGTATTAATAGAGCCGTCCCGGGGCACTAGGCGCGCGCCTAGGCCCATGAGCTCAAACGGGCCGCTCCACATGTGCTAGGCGGGCCGCTGAAGATAAGAGTACATGTACATGTACGCTAGGCTTAGGATGAAAGTTCTAAAGTACACTCAACTGGTTCTCATCCCAAGATTGCATAAATAAGACCACTTCTCTTCCTAAAAATGCATCCAAATAACCAGGATCAAATCAAAGCGACCTACTTTCTCTCAATATCTAAATTTTTGTTTTTGCCTCCCTGTTTTCGTGTGAAGACACAAGAAAGCGTCAACATCTCAGTGCAGTTCCGCCTATTTTCATTGCTTGAACCGTTCGTCATTCCATAATCGACTGTCATCGCAATGCTAACAAGCTAATAGAATCTCAGATCCCAACTTGAAATCTGAGAGTTATGGCGCACTTCAGGAAGACTTATTTCCTATGCCCGAAGTCAGAGTTCATCCCTCCTCCTCCAGAGGGTCCTTTATTTCTTGGCTCTATTATTCTCTCGACGTCAATGCCGGAGTCCTCGCTTAATAGGGAGACTAAAATCCCATTAGTCAATGAACTACCACCTATTATCGAGACAGATTGGAAGAAAGCAGTTTCAGTAAAAAAAAAAGTCGAGTGGGGTGTTTACTTACAGTTTCTGGCAAATTCAGGGCTATTAGTTCTGGGCCCTTCATTGGATGCCGACCACCTTAGCAAATCAAAGTGCACATTTGCGTTTGACGAGGTGAAGACTATGTCGTTTGAACCGACACCAGAGTATGTTGCTGAAGCGATGAAGGCACCTACTGTGCAGCAATGGTTGAAGGAGCCTAAGCAGCGATTTAGCCCTGTTGTCTCGCTCTACCTCATCACTGGCATGAAGCTCGTCAAGGGCGCGAACGTCAAATACTCGAGTTCAGGAACTCTAGGAGTCACGGGAAGATTTGGCATTGACGTACCCCAATATGATATAAGTGTTGGCCCAAGGGGCAGATGGACCGCACCAACATACGGTGATGGGATGGAATCTAACCCTACGTCTGACTTCGTCTTTGCGTTTCGCGTCAAGAGGATTAGGATTACACGGAAAGTCAAGACTGAAAATTACACTAAAGGTGCTTTCATGGCGGCTGGAAAGGAAGAAGATGGCGACGAAATAGAGTCTATTTCGGTGGATGATGTGGATGGCTCTGGCTTCGAGAATGTCACGGTTGTTCACGATGCTGCTGAAGATGATGATGTTTACTGTGTCCCCAGTAAATAGCCCATTCGATCTTCACAATAGTTTGATACTAAAGGGATTCATGGAGTTGGGAGTTAATTGAGTTACTTTCCTGTTTTCAATCCATTTTGGTGTTGCTCTAAATGTGTTCTGTTGATGAATACTAAGCGACTACCAATCGTAATCATAAACAGCTTTTCTTCTCCGTCAAACCAACCTCTCCGAAATTACATACCGAATGAACATCTTCATCCACAGCCCCATTCTGTAGCCTCTTGTAGCTAAAGTTCGTTCTTGCTGCCGGTAGAAACATAATATTTCTGGGTACATACGCCATAACAGTCTGTTGAGTGTCATGTTCACATGCCTCCAGAGTGTCTTGGCCAATAAATCTCTGACTTGCGAGCGACACTAATAGCCTTTCACAAACAATTAAGAGTCTGTAGACTGTGATCACAGGATTAGCCTTTACACATGGAACAGATGATGCTTTAGCAGCATTGATATGAAAATTGATTTAACACGAAAATTAGATTGCAAAAAGCTGTTGAGAGTAATCCCATGACCTATCAAGGCGACGATCGGTGTTCACAAGACTCGTGTACAAGAAGAACGCAGACATGCCGTACAATCAATTACACGAATATGGCTCCCATACAGCTCGCCGCCCTTGAGCAATCATTGACCGCTCTATGCGTCGACGCATCCGAATTCCGAACTCCAGGAAAGTCCCATTGCCGGATATGCCATCAACTTCGTGTCCACAACTCCTCTCAGGGCTGGACCGCACTAACATCACACGACCATGTCGAATATAGGGAACCAGAGTCGGACTTGGAAATAGTCTCTGCAGCCCAGGGGCAGGATACCGTAGCTGTGCCACCATTGAGGCCGGTCGCTGTGACAGAGATCGACATGTCATCCGAGTTGTCTGAGTTGACAGTGAGTGCCAAAACTCCGGCAAATGTCATGTCGAATGGACAGCCCCATCTCCCGCAGAAGAGGACTACATCAGCTCCTGGACAGCCGTCCGTGGGTTCGCTCTCAGTACCAACAAAATCAGCCGTCGCTGTATCTGAACCATCCGTTGCTTGCGCCCAAAGCCCACAGCCGATACCGGGCTCAGGTCCTGGAAGGCCGGGAACAAGGCCAGCATAGTAGCCGATTTGAACGGTTAAGGAGGCAGAAGCAAGCCTCGAGGCGCTCAACAGCAGGAAAAGAGCTGATGATGATTTAATAAACATGGTCGCTGATACCGGAGAGTAAGCACGCCAAAAGCCAAAACTGTGCTTCACAGGTAGAATCTAGTGTCAAGAAGCTTACCGGGAGGGAGACGTGTAAGTACAGTGATATGAATGGTGCCGAAATCAAAATGAATTGTAATTTAATATTTCTGTTCAAGAACGGGTCATCCAAGACTCTATTTATATTAAAGAACAACCCATTTCTGAGCTGATAAGATCGTCAATTATCTAGTCAATAAGAACATAGAAGTCTTTCTCAAATGGAATGTTCTATAAAATAATTGGATAATCGGGCATTGCTCATTGATTCTTGCCTGCCGGCCTTCCGCCTTGGCCTGTCTTGGCCTGTCTTGGCTTCATGCGTGCCAAGGAGCTCAATGAAATACACGCTCAGAATTGGTGGAACTATTTCACGACATAGCTGATTTCTCCGAACAATAGTCCATTCTGACGAAGCTATGTCGTATGGATTGAAATATGTTTACACCATACAGTCAGGCTGTAATAGCTATCTTTCTCATCATCTGTTGAAAATACCGGCTGCGCTTCGTAAATACTGCGCTGTGTGAATGACAGTCATTCGAACTGATTCTAGAAGCAACATTGAGACTATAAACAGGAGACTTTCGCATTTCATTACACTCATCAAACGATATATCTAGTAAATAGAATCTTATTTGTTATTCTACAAACTAATTAGTTTGTTAACAAGACTCTTAAAATCTTCAAATTTGGACTTCGGCCGTTTCCTAGAGTGCGAAGACTAGTGCTTATGAGCTTACAAACTCTACTGTGAAAAGAACCCACAAGATGGATATATATTAACGGCATTTAGGACATGATCAGCAGCAACAAGGATAGATTAGGAAATTGCTGGCTGAGTTGAACATATACGTTTCCCTAACCGGCCCCTCCTATCCTTTGTAAGCTTATTTACTATCTCGATGAAAAGGTCCTAATCGGTGCTTGCCTATGTACATCTACCTCTTCTAACGATTTTAGTGATAGAATCAGGCCGAGTCGATTTTGATATGCCTCTTAGACTTTTTAAGCTGACCGACGGGCGTTTACATTCTTGGCATTAGGCTTCGGACTGACTAAATTCCGTTCACCAGAAGGCACGTATTTGTGTAGAGTTGCTATGTAACAGAATTTAGGATAATATATCTCAAATGCTCACGAGATACTTCCTTCATCAGCGGTCTATCAGTAAAAGGACTAGGCATTAGGCAAATCACCACGACAAAAGCCCTCGCCGTTGAACGAAAACATTAAGTTACAAACATCACTCTTGTAACTCATGGACGGCGACGGCGGCATGAACCGATCCAGTACTCCATTTGGCTCATTACTTCGGCCAAATGACTATAGAGTATCATACTCTTTCTGATTTTGCCTCAAATATCTTCAAACTTCTATCAGGGCGTCACAGCGGAAGAGCCTAATCCTAAGTGACATTTTCGCCATCATGCGACAAGCTTTAATAGCTTCCGAGGGTGATCGGAGCATTGAAGTCAGCATACATTTCGATTGATGGATTCTGTCATACTCAAACTCTATATATGTAGGCAAGGTTCAAACCTTTCGTCCGTCCTACCTAACCTAATTCTCTTCGTTCCGTGTTGAGGAGCCTACGAAGGGAACGTAACCCAGCAACTCATTCTTACGTAGATTTAGTCATCGATTTCAAATGTTCCTGTAGTGAATCAATCCTGCTGAATGAATTCGTATTTCTAGTCACTTGTTCTACCTGCATAGTACCTACATGTAAGCCATCTTATTCTTCCCGCGTGCTTCAAACGCCACCTACCTGTCAAAGATTCTATCAAAACCGAGTATGCAAGTGTTTGCAATATAATGCAAAAGTTTGAACCAGCCGCCAATAAAAAGATCGCCCCTATGGCTCAGCGGTAGAGCGTCGCACTCGTAATGCGAAGGTCCATAGTTCAATTCTGTGTGGGGGCATTCTATTTTCTTTTGGTTTTTTAATAGTCCATTTTATTTTTTGGTTCAAACAATTAAAAAAGATAAAATTCTTATTAAAATCAAACTCATCTAATACATTTGTTCTATAATAATTCGAGAGCGGCTACCCGTTAGGCCCTTGTCGCGACCATCAAAGCCTGTTATTATTTGTTCGATACAAAGGTATGAACCAGCGCCTCTTATTAAACCTCTTCAGCTAATTATCGCTGCAGCTACCGACCTAACCGAATTATATTATACGGTAACATACAATAGTTGAGAGTCTTTGTTTGCTTTCGCGGTGAACTTTGTTCAATCTGAGATCGTGTTGCCTTTGCCTTTATCAACAGCTGGCTCAGTGTGTTGGCACAGGTAAATGTAGATATTGCACGACGATGTATGCAGTCATTTAGTGTTAAGTACACTACTATAGTTGGTCCCGATCGACGTTCTCGGCGAATTTGTCCCCAACGCTAGATATTTTTTGCAGCGTAAGCAAAGCAATTTCTGTCAAATGCGCGGCAACATGTAATTGGAGAGCTTCGTTGGCGAAGACGCACTTGGTTCGACGTCTTCGGGGGGGTGAAAATCGTCGCCAAACGGGCACTCCAGCACTTTGTCAAGGCAAGGTCTTCGTGCCGCGTTGCTGAGAATCCCGATATGCTTTTCAGGCACGTCATGCTCTTGGATGGAATGCTGCTGATACTTAATCTCCTGATCAAAGGTGATTGGATTGTAAAAAGGGGCTCTGCACTCCCACGTATGCCCGTGAACGTTTTGCATGTGGCTGATCCACGCTTTTGACGATTCAGACGTCAGCGGACTGGTTCCATGTTGACCCGTTTCCAAGCAGGCTGACAAAACACAAATGAAGGGTTCCAGATTTCCAATGACATGATTGCTAGGGCAGTAGCTGCATTGGTTACTGGCACCCGAGGCGAACCAGCTTCTCCTGATAGTCTGTTGGTGGTCGTAGGCTTTGATGGCACGGTCGGAGCAAATCGTATAGCTGGAGCACTCTCCTTGACCTAGGGTAGTTGAAAATCTCGTGGGATATTTTTAGGAATCTGAGCATTCAATTCAATGTGCCTTCGATGAGATCGCTGATAATTCAGTCGTCGGAGTCGGAGCGCATTGGCTTCGATCGACCAACGCTGAGCAAAGCGATTCCGGCGCCATCGGAAACCAAGAACGAATGTAGCATTCCGTGTAGAGACGTATTTCGTCTACAGCAGTAATTATTCCTTCATTATCTGTATATTTTTAGTTTGGCGAATCTAGTCAGCTTTTGCCGCCTTTCGAGCGGCATTGGATAGGCGAAATAGCCGTGATACTGTTCCGCCGATGGTATTGGTGATTTTGAATGTATTTACTTCTACTTGATCTTCGCAACTGTCCGATTCGCTTTCATCATCTTCTTCCCTCCTTTTGACTTCCGAATTGCTGTATTGTGATATGCGCTGTCTTTTCCTGCTTCGAGATTTTGGCGGCTCGTTAGTTGGCTTCACTGTTGTGAGGTTTCCATTAGAATAGAGTTATTGACGTTCAGTCCATCTGACCCTGGTGCGAAAAGGGCTTACAGGATGTCAAAGTGTCACAAATGACATCCAAGAGCTGGTGTATGATCTCTACAGCTGTGGGACTGAATCGGAGCCTGTAGTCCAACGAAACATTGAGCGGTCCGTAGACGTCCATATTTGAAGCCCACAGTGTAAAGCGCGCCAGCTGGTCATCCATGATAGCAGGATCTGGTACGAATTCTGGCAGGTCCATGTATTTGCGGAACAAAGAATCGCACTGTACTACATGTTTGGCGATAGTCGGGTAAAGTCCCTCTTGGAGGAGGACATCTTCTACCGAATCATCATCCTTGCGATCCAGGCTTGTCATTGCGAGAGGTTGCCTGGCGGTCGGCAGGTTGTTGAGAGAGCGCCCAAGACCCGGGAAGCTGATCTTCGTCTCTTTTCGTAGAAAGAGGCTCTTCAAAGCCTTGGGCACGCAGATTGCGACTAAAACCTATCTCATGGACTTCTCGAGGTGCCGATGAGTGCGACGAGGCTTGTGTTTTGTATTCTGTAGAATTGCGGATCTGTGCCTAGCCTCAGCTAATTCCTTTGTTAGCATACGTGTATGCTGTACGGCAATTGGCTTGTCTGTAGCAACACAAACATGAAGGAAACAAATGAACACCACGGCCCCATGACACAGCGCACGTAAAAGGAGATTGAACAGTGGCTCCGGTAGACAATCTCAGAGCCTTGTCGTTATGGCACCCGGCGAAACGGAACCAACTGCCAGCGGTCATTCGAGATTGGCTTGCGAGCTTTGTGTAATCTCCTGCTGCTTTCTCAATCTAACGTCCTTGGCCACCGTCGTCGTTTAGAAACACTTGCCCGCTCCTGTCCAACATCTCTCTCTATGTATCTTTGGCGGAGTATTGTCTGGTGGGCAGGGCGAACCTCAGGACGGCAACATATTATGTGTACTCTGAACAGCCTGCATTCATCCCAAAAAGAAGCAACATCAATTTCCGATTTAGTTTCATAGCGATTGCGCCTACTCTAGTCTTCTCTCAATGCAGTCATCATCCTACTTAGCTTGAGCTAGTAGTGATTCGTTTTTTAAGTAATCTTTTAGCGACTTTGTCCATGGCTCCATCAATCAAAATGTTTCCACAGTCGCCGAAATTGAGTATCTAAAGACTGGAAACAGGGTTGAAGAAACCACGGCTAGTAGGAGATGCGTCCTTGTATGTTTCTGTTTGGGGCTTCACAGATAGAAATTTCCAAGAGCGACATCTGCTCGAGCTAGTCACTCTTCCAGCGACAATTAACGCCATTCTTGTAAGTCATTATACTCAATTATCAGTCACGTCTTGTATAAATGAGGTAAGTAGCCTACTCTAAGTCTATCTTCAGCCTCTTAAGAACACGCCTCGTGTCTGAATGATTCTCTCAATAAGACGCCTTGGAAGTTGTTTGATCGCCAATGTTTCATCCTTCAAAATTCTCTCGCTGGTCGTAAGAAAACGATCTTGAAAACTTTCCCACAGCTTCTGGTCAGAGGCATTTGAGCTACCCGGTCGTGGGTAAAAAGGGTCATTTCGCCAAAAGCATCTGCAAGCCTTATCGATGCCGCTTTCGTCTAGAGTAATGTCGTTGCAACAGTCAAAATCCAAGATCCAGATTGCATGAATACCCAAGACGTCCGAATGATTCAAATTAGAAGAGTTCATAATAGACGGGTCGTTTGATCGAGGCTGAGCAAGAACGAACTCTACATCATTTGCATCAACCTTGGCTATCCAGTGAAGGAATGCAAGTGCATCAGCCATGGACATAGCATAGTCATGGATTGTGAGCCCGATATTTTCCATTTGGTCGATATGGAGTGGAAAATTGCGTAAACTGTACGCTCGGAGGCGCCGAGGTCTTTCAGACTCAGCCTGGAATCTGCGGCGGCCAAGGTAAGGGCGGATTAGGCAGTGTTTGTTTGTCTGGGTTTCCAAAATCTTGTCGGTATCCACGCCGGGAATAAAGTTTTCTATGATCATTCGACGGCATTGCTGGTCGACGGGCATTATCTTCTCGCTGATTATGGCCTTGCATGGTGCATAGCCGGGAGGGAGTCGGGGGAGGATGTAAGCCCATTCAGGAGCGTCTTCGCTGATGAAAGCTTCGGGTTCGGGAATATTGAAGGGAATCCCAGAAGCGCCAAAGATTGCTGAAATCTGAGAAGTATCGAGAGATTTTAGACACTCCAGCAATCGTACATGGATGTGATATTCGTTGGTGATTGATCTTCCGGGGCCGCCATCTTCTCGTTTCATAGCCAATTGTCGACCTGAGCTTGACTGGCCGTCTCCTAATTCTCCCCAAACAGATCCGCAAAAACCTTGTCCAATTCTTTCGAGTTGTGATGCGCCATTATGTACGGTAAGTTGGCAGATTGTACCTTCCAGCATGTTTGTCGCTTGTATGCTCTCTTTCTTTTTTTGTAATGATGTATTCGGATGATGTATTCGGATGGTATTTAGGTTTCGGGTACTCATCGATTATATATACGCGTTATTATTTTCGTGGCTTCCGTTGACATTCGCTTAAAGTTAGATAACACAGAAATACTCGGCTCCAATTCCCAAGCAGAGTGCACTAAGTTCGGAAGTGGCATACTAAGAAAAGTTAAAGCTGTGTTATTTTGCAAGGACTAAACTCGAGTCCAGTCTACTGCAGTCTTTGCCCCGGGTAGAGTAGTAGTTCTTGGATTCAGACGATGGCAACAGTAGAGAAATGTTTGACTCGGGCAGAATGCCAGCGCTTCAAACTATCAAACACACTCGCGATATTGCCAAGACATCACAGAGGGCATAGCGGCGGGAAGCGCACCGGCCCGTACGGTATTAGCTTCCGATACCGAACCGGCGGATGAATTAGTGGCCTTGACGACATGACATGCTACCCGTGGGTATGTATCTAGGTATTAAGCTTCCATTAGTTTGGGAACTCGGCGTTCTTCAAACAACCTCAAAGACAGACTCGCAAAACTCTCCTCCTTCCGGCATATCCACGCTCTCCCCATTCATGAACCCATGTATATAACATTCTCCAACAAGCAGATAATACTGAGAGCCCAGACAGGGACGGAGACAAAACGGCATCTTCCCTCCAAACAACACGCAGATAATGTCGCCCTTCTCCATGACCTGCGGTCCCATCACATAGTATCCCCTACTTGTCCGGGCAAACCTTCGATGTGTTGATGCACCAGTTGCCGCACGACTCCACTTCTGCGCGTCTCCCTTCTCAGCCAGGCCACAGAGCTCAGGAGAGATGATTGTGCTATCCACAGTTCTTGCGAGATAGGCAGCGGCATGTGCAAGCCATGTCTCAATGGGCACAGCACTGTAACGCTCGGTAGCGTGGTTCTGCCAATAAATAGCCATGCAACCATTGCTCATCGTCTGGGCGTAGGCAAAGAAGCTGCTTTCTTCTCCGCCAGCGTAATTGTCACCGAGATGAAAGCCATTTGTGTATCCACAGATTTCCGTCCAAAGAGTCTCAACCGCGGGCCGTGTGTTCTTCTCTTCATCACTTTTCCTCTCATGAAACGCCCCCTTTTCCAGCGGTTCAGAACAGTTCTCAATCGAGTCGATTTTCATGCCGTTGATGCTAAGCACCTCCGGAGCAGATGCGCTGATGCGCAGTTCTGGTTTCTTCAACCCGCTGGCGCAGTGAGGAGTAGTGGGCTCTGACATAATATGCCCGTGGCGGGCTCTCCAGTCCGGTACCCACGATGGCAGCTTCGCCTGTCGCTTCTGTGAAGGTTCGACTGGGGAGCTAAGTGTATTGTGCTGAACGGCAGCTAGAGTAATAAGAGATTCAGTGTCTCCGATTAGGGCCCTTTTGGCAACATCGACATAGACTTCCTCAACTGGTTTCTTATAGTCGGCTTCCAACTCTTTCAGCTTGTCGTTATGTCCCTTACGGATGGAGTAGTGGCCCAGCATGGCAAATACCCGATCTCGGGGATCCGTGACATTCATGTGCCCTGCTCTATGGAGTTCATATATGAAGCTAAACCGATTGTCATGCCGACTGGGCGTCTCGGGTTCGACGAAGCGGCGATAGAGGTACTTGATTTCTGACGTTGCCACCTTGAGCTTTGTCCTCATGTGGTGGTATTCTGCAAGCTCTTCACACACGTCGTGCAGTATATCCCACATAATCTCTTCTTCCCCCCAAAGCAGGGTTGCAGCACTCCTGGTGCCAATTTCTTGAACGATCCAGCCACGTCGGAACTAATAATGTCATTTTAAGCACTAACATCTCAATTTCAAGGTATACATTATGATTCTCATTCACTTACCCACGGGAGAGCTGTTATGTGTTTAAGAGGCACCCAGTACTCAGCTGGCTGTTCTGACAAGCTATTTATAGTAGTCAAGGCATTATCCTTTTTATCGCGAACGAGGATCCTAGCTAGCCTTCGTACAAAGGCAAAGGCTTCTTTCGCCGAGCCCTGCTCGTCGAGACCAAGCCAGACCTGTACGTGGGTGCCATTTCTGTAGATTAGGTTCATAAACTGCACCTGCTGCGATCTTTCTTCTTCATTGCGTTGATCAATGCAAACCTGGTCGACCCATACGCGACGGAACCCGACGCGCGGTCTGAGTCGTCTCAGGGCATGATACAGGCTGGCTGTAAGTTTGAGCCGCGCGGTGGGTAGAAATATCTCGTGCGTGAGCCTATCATCGCCCCAGACGTATGATAGAGGCTCATAATCCCCCGCAGCGTCAACGGCAACGGGTTCGAGCTGACCCCGAAGCGGGTCCTTGGAATTTCCGCCGTATAGCGTCAATACCCTAATCGTCCTGTTGTCAGGCAAGGGAGTGTAGCTGTAAGCACGTGGAGGAGAGAAAAAGTGTAGGCAGCCCATATTGAAAGTCCTGATAGGATGATATACGTCATTCGGGGATGGAGGTCAACTACAGAACGAATCGGTGGTGCCCTTTCTATTTCTACCTGTAGTATTCATGCCTTCAGCAACTTACACGCGTATACTGTATGTATGTCGGCCCAATTACCTGGGTAAGCAACGATAACAAGCCTCATTATACATGGGCCTATGCTGAGCGCCGCGCATCTCACTAACGAGGTTCAGCCATGGACACTCCCCTGTTCAATATTTGTATGTCATGCCTCATCTATCATTATCGACAGCTACGTGCATCGGCTTAATTGGGCGACAATCAGCCTCGATACATTTACGCTAAGCTAGGCGTCCTGCATCTCACCAATGAGGCCCAGCCACGGAGCAAACTCCGTTTTCTTCAGCTGTCTACTTGCAGATTCAGCACAAGGCATACTGCGTAAAAGGTTTGAAATGGTCGCATCAGATCAAGGCTGGAAGAGGAGCGTGAAGGGCGAATATTTTACCAACCTAGGTAGGAGAAATCCAACTAAAGAAGCTTGCCCTGCTTCTTGGTGCCTTGCACACATATATATAACTGCATTGTATTTAAGACTTAGATCGAACAACGAACACGTATTAAGGCAATAGTATATCTCCCAAGATGGGGGAAGCGCAATCTAAGGAGAATATACTGGACGAGCTCCTGAAAGAGCTCAAGGGAGTCTACGCTGACGAGGTTAGCGAGTATCAAAGATGCTTGGATACCGTCGCAGATGACTTGGGCCACGTCCTAGCCCAGGAGGCTATCCGCCATCTCCCCGTAGCCCATCGAGTCAAGAGCTGGAACTCGATTGAGGGTACTGCGCAACGCCGGCAGAAAGACCGTCTGGCCGCCCAAATGATTCAGCAGAAGATGATAGAGCTCAAGGAGAACTGGGAGCATCATTTCGAGAAATACAAGATGAGCAAGACCAAGCTCGGATATTTTAAAGACCGGGACGAGCTCCAGCGCGAGTTTCACGACATGCTCGGCGCGCGGATCGTGCTCTATTTCCCGAGCGACACAAAGAAGGTGCTCAAGCTTGTGGAAGCTGCAGGCTACAAGAACGTCAAGCAGCCGAAGCGGATGGGGGGTCTGGCGGATGTCAGGAGGCTGCGGAAGCTTGCGGCGAAATGGCTGGATGCTTCGGCGTCCAAGGCCCCGGCCGATGACCTCGATCTCGAGGGCTTGGAGCAGCAATTCTCGGGCTACGGTGCTATACACCTTGCTGTCAAGGTACCCGAGCGGCTACGTCCGCGAGATCTGGGGCCTGAAGCAACGGCGATCTGGGATAGGACCATTGTGGAATTCCAGATCGGCACCGTCATCATGCACGCCTGGGCCGAAGTCGAGCACGACATCACCTACAAGACCCACGGTCGTGAGGTGCCGCAGGACGAGAAGGCGGTTCTGGACATCCTCAACGGCCTCGCCCTTGCCAGCGAGGTCGGGCTACGCCGCTTTCGATCGTCGCCGCAATCGCCTTCGCCGCCCGTCGAGTCCGCCGAGGAGCTGCATAGTTGGCTGCATCAGCTCTATATCGACAAAGACCGAAGCACACCGGCCGAGTGGGTTGATCTAGACAAGCTCTGGGACTTTCTGGTTCGGCACAAACAGAATCGACGAGACACATTCCGGCACCTTGCCGAGGTCGGCTGGGGGCATCTCGTGAGACACGAGCGTAAAGAAGGCTTCGAGCTCGACCACGTCCTCCCCTTCATCATCATGCACCATCACCCGCCACCCAAGGCCGTTGAAGAAGGCCGTCGTCTCAAGGCGATGAAGGAACTCGACCAGACGCGGGCGGCGTCACGCCCGCCGGATGTGGAAGCCAAGAACAAATCCCAGCTGGTCGTGGCAAATATCTCATCCCTGATCCACAGAGTCAGCGAGAGAGATCTAGCAAAAATCGAGAGGCTGGTCAAACGATGAAAGCTGAGGCCAGACGAGGAGGGAGACTCTTCAGGGCAAGGAGTAAGTTTTCCTCATCCAAATAACGCGACTGCGCGTATAGTATACATGTAATGTGAATGAGTACTAACCACGTGTTTAAACAGGAGTATCTGGGTGTTATCAGCCTGCGCGAGTGCAAATCTCGCATTGCTGCTGATCCGACGTGGCTGAAAAAGGTGCGAGAGCGTTATGACGAGTGGATTTTGGAGGAAATTCCGCCACATGGTCGTTGGGCGACGTTTTACGGGGAGTCATCCGAGCTGGGGTTTCCGATGAGGCAGATTCAGAGGCCTAGTCGAGATGAGCTGGCTTGCAAGAACCGGAGCGAGCAGTTCAGCGACTGGATGGATATGCGATGGAGTCGGTGTGGGTTATATATGGACTATATGGCTCCAGGTATCAGTATGATGCTAGTCTTGAAGCATTACGGAGTTTTTGACTAGGTACATGTACGTCGTGTAGTTATGGCGAGAATCTCATATCTATAAGTCACCCATGCCAGAGCGAAGTTGATGTGGTTACTTTAGCACACTTCATCTTAGTTACAAAGCAACCTTCTGTTTATATTTATGAGGCTTCAGTTTTTGTTTGTACATAGTTTTCTTTTCGCGGTCTCATATCAGCTTCCGTTGTATAAATCCGTAACAAATATAGAAACCCTTTTTCGACGCGAAGGTAGCGCTGCTTTGGCTGTGTCGGTATACATAATTTTTTCCCAAACTCTAGCTTATATGGATTTCCCTCCTGAACAACAGCAGTATTGCCATCACATAAACGTATTGGAAACAAAAGACCAGATTGACACGTAGGTACTACTGATGGGCACATTCTGAATACCATTATAGCATGACACTAGAGTATATCAGAAAGTGTTATTTAGATACATTTTTTTACAGAGAAAAAAAAAGAATGACACTCACTTCATTTGAACAGTTTTCCCATATATGACGTAGAAAAGGCTTGTTTACGCACTGCTCAATATATTGAGATGTTCTTGATTGCTCCCATTCTGCTGCGTCTGGGTGTTGCTGTAGCCAGATGAATGCCGAAATCACTAATGCATTTTCTGCAAAGCTGAGCTCTGTTTCATAAATTTCAGAATCGACATCCATGATAGATGGATATATATTTCACGTTGGACATAGCATGGCAATATTATATCGCAGAAGGGCGAGCTTGTGAGATTTATATCTCTGCGGTCTTGCAGGACTGGTGCCTAAATACAAAAACACACTTTTAATACAAAAAGCCCGCCACACTAATACCTATGAGGAGAATACTTACCAAATGGGTGATTTATCACATATTAGCATTCTAGACCGCAAGTTGGATACGACCTTGTGTTGGGCGTTGTCAAAAATGGCAAACCAATCAATCAGTACTTCGATGAGGCGCTTTGCATGGATATCCACCAGTCAGAGGGCCTCTTAAACAAAGACATTGTAAGCTGGATCGCAATTAGCTTATGGTAGAGATACCAGCACCCTGCAAGGCATTCTTAAGGCTGAGTCTGCTGAAATGTCGTATTTCTCTTTGTTTCCTACATGAGAACGGAATTGGCTTCCGATTTTCATTCTTTAGCTGCCTTTACTCTTCGCCACAAAGCTGTCGCTTTAGTTACGCAAAATGCCAAAGCGACGTAACGAAATTAGAGATGAGCAAGCGTCTCCCAATGCAAAAAGAACTGCAGTGGAGCGCCCCTCTGAGCCGGCCAAACTTGACCATGCCGCCTATACAATTGGATGGATCTGCGCATTGCCAAAGGAGCGAACTGCAGCGATTGCCATGCTAGACCAACAGCACACAGATCTTTTATATCCCGTCAATGATGATAACGTATATGCCTTGGGATCCATCGGTGGGCATAATATTGTCATTGCTAGTCTACCGAAAGGGAGATACGGCAACAACTCTGCAGCCATAATCGCGACAAAGATGACTAGCTCCTTTCCTGCCATTAAATTCGGATTATTAGTCGGTATCGGAGGCGGGATTCCATCCAAAGTTCGGCTTGGAGACGTTGTGGTCAGCGCTCCAACTGACCAGTATCCAGGAGTTGTTCAATTGGATTTTGGCAAAGCAGAGGGTGATGGCAGATTCAGACGAACTGGTGCCTTGAACAGCCCGCCGAGTGCGCTTCTCAAAGTCTTAGCAAAACTGGAGTCAGAGCATGAGATGCAAGGACCCAAAATTCCCCGCTTCTTGGATGAGATGAGGCGGAAATGGCCGAGACTATATCCAAAATATTTCTGGAAGAATTCCCTCAAAGACCCTCAAGACGGAAGCATCGAAAAAGAGGTGGATACGTCTGCTATATTTACAGCTCATGAGCCTCAGATGCACTGTCCAGGCATTCATCACGGCCTAATCGCATCCGGTAATCGGGTCGTCAAAGATGCTTCATTCCGCGACCGCCTTGATGAGCACCTAAATGGAAGTTTGCTGTGTCTTGAAATGGAAGCAGCGGGATTGATGAACGACTTCCCTTGTCTAGTTGTCCGAGGCATCTGCGATTATGCAGATTCGGCCAAGAACGACGACTGGCAAGAGTATGCGGCAGCGGTGGCGGCAGCTTATGCGAAAGAAATCATTTCCGCGCTACAGGTCTACGCCGTGGAGCACATGGACTCAGTCAAAGGTATAATCCATCTGGTTTGAAGAAGTCGTACCGTTGTGCTTGACCTGGCATAGCAATTCATATTCGCCAACCGCTAACTGTGTCTTGGGCAGATATCTTATCGGATATTCGAGCTGAACTTGAAAGCTTCCGAACAGCATTTGATGAGATTTCCACACGACAGTATGCTCGGGACCACTTAGACTTTTTGAAAAGTTTAACAGCTGTTGACTACACCCTTCAGCAAAAAGATAACTTTACCAAACGGCAGCCTGGAACGGGCCAGTGGCTTCTAAACTCCGACACATACCGGTCCTGGGTTGATACCACCCGGCAGACATTGTTCTGCACAGGAATTCCCGGAGCCGGGAAGACTACCCTTACGTCTATCATAATTAACGACCTTTTTGAAAGATTCAACAGAGATACCACGGTGGGAATTGCTTACATTTACTTCAATTTCCAACGACACGATGAGCAGGAACTTTTTGATCTATTGACAAGCATTTTGAAACAATTAGCCCAAGGACAGAGCTGCCTACCACAGAGTGTAAAGGCGAAGTTTGATGAGTGTAGAGGCCAAAATCAACGCTTGTCGCTGGATGACACCAAAAAGCTTCTCCAAGAAATATCAGCTTCATATTCGAGAGTATTCATCTTGGTGGATGCTCTGGATGAATGTCAGGGGTCATATGGATGCCGCGCGAGCTTCCTAGCGGATATTTTCCTTTTACAGGAGAGTGCAAAAGTGAATATTTTTGCAACGTCTAGATTCATTCCAGAAATTATGCAAACATTCAAGGCATGCAAGTCCATGGAGATACGTGCCACACAGGAGGATGTACAAAGATACGTGCGTGGTCAACTGGAGGGAAGTGGCATAGAGCACCTCCCCTCTGTGATCAAGAACAGGCCAGAGCTAGAAGAGGCAATTATTAGCGGAATATCGAATGCTGTCGATGGAATGTACGTATCTAGAATCATCATCTCCCAGCCAGCTTATGCAAACCCTAACATGTTCCAGGTTTCTGTTGGCAAAGATCTTTCTCGACTCATTAGTCGACAAAATTACAATTGCAGATGTTAGAGAAGCAATAGCACAGCTACCAACGCATATGGCAGGAGCTCTAGAAGATCAGAGATTGATAATACTGGATCAAGCATACGATTCCGCCTGGATAAGAATAAACCAACAGAAAGAGGGATTCCGGAACATTGCCACGCGGGTTCTAGCGTGGATCACATGCGCGAAGCGACCATTATCTACAAGGGAACTTCAGCATGCACTCGCAGTCAAGATCGGCAAGGATGAGCTTGACAAAGACGCCATCCCTCAAGTTCGTGATATGGTGTCATTTTGCGCCGGGCTGGTCACTATCGATGAAGAGAGCAATATCATCAGACTGGTACACTACACAACGCAAGAATATTTTGAGAGGAAGAAGACTGATTGGTTCCCTGATGCAGAGGCTATGATTGCGGAAACCTGCATTTCCTATCTTTCTTTCAAGGCTTTTGGCGAATATCATTTAACTGATTCTAGCCACAGGTACCTGCGTTGTCGCGCTTTTTATGAGTATGCCAGCCAGTATTGGGGAGACCACGCACGTATTGTGGGAAAGAAGTTGGATAAAATTATCCTAGAATTCCTCATGAGCGGTGCCAAAGCATCTAACGCCTTCTATGTTGCGACGAGGCGCTTTCACCTGAGCTTCCAGTGTTGGTCTTGTCTAGGAGTTGATTACAGGCCCTGGGAGTACACGCCGATGTCGGGTATGCATCTTGCCGTACTCTTGTCATTTGATGAAGCAATCAAGTTATTACTCGAGAACGGATGCCCCATCATCGAGAACGAAGAAATCGATGTGTCGCCACTGTTCTTAGCCATAGACCAAGAGTATCTGCATATTGCACAGATACTACTTGACCATGGTGATTATATAAGTTTCAAAAGAAATAACGGTGACAGTGCTTTGGAAGTTGTTATGGAACCAAAGCATTACAACCTAAAGTTTATCAAGGAGCTTATTGCAGCAGAAATTGCCTCTGGACAAGATATCTCGTGGTTTCTCCACTCAGCTATTGAATACGGCCACAAGGGTATGGTTAAGATGCTGCTTCGATTAGGCGCCGACATCGAGACTACCACAGGATGTTTCTGGGATTATAGACCATTGCACTATGCAATCGATTGGGAAAAAGTGGCAATTGTTAAGTTGTTACTTGACAAGGGTGCCAATGTTGAGGGTGCATCGAACTCCCGCAATGAAACACCATTGCACTCGGCAGCCATCATAGGTAATTCAGCAATTATGGCTTTATTGCTGAAAAAGGGCGCCAACATTGAGGCTCAAAATATTAAAGGCAAGACACCATTATTTTACACAGTCAGTTCTCGCCCTGACCCTAGCTTGTATGACCACAAAGTAGTTTGTAGCATGCTTCTCGAAAGGGGAGCCAATATCGAAGCGGTTGATAGCAAAGGACGCACGCCACTAATGTATGCACTGCAAAGCTATGTAAAATATGCATCCGGAGGCAGCCGGAGAGCATATACTCGGGATCTAATACAACTATTACTTGATAAGGGGGCCAACATCAATACCGCAGATAATGAGGGGCGAACGCCGCTTTCATATGAGTTGATAGAGCGATGGAATAAAAGTAAGGGGATCTTCGACCCAGAAAGTGCTATGGATTACGTCAAAAAAGAATTGGGGGGAGGGGAGAGGGAGGTAGTTGAGGATATATAAATCAATATCAGATATAACTTCAGCTAGGTAAGTATTAAAGTTGCCAGATATTATACATTAGCTTTCAGTGCTTAGGGTTAAGTTGTCCATCAGGACTTTCCCTGGCCTACGTATGGTCGGATAAGAGCAAAGAGAATCCCATTCTCTTTACCAGGTATACAGGGAAAATGGCACGCATTCTCTACGCAAAATGACTCCTAGTTGCCGCAGTGGCCTCATTTAATGTGATAACAAGGCCGCGCCAGCTCGATCAAATAAGTCAGCGATGTGTTTCGCCCTATGGTTCCAATAGCGTTACAACAAGCTGAGCTGCTGCAGAGGTGTGTTTGTATGTGTGCAAGCCAGAGGTGAGATTTCGACTCATCAATAAAGCTGGTTAAATGATGAAAGGGATTTATGCAAAGCAGCTCTATTCACGTAATTCCGCTTGGTAGCAAAACGGGACAGGCAGGACAAAGCCATAAAGGGACAAAAGGTCGGATGCACGGCAAGGAAGCCTTGGTAAGACCTTATCTTCTGGGATAAGTAAAGTCTGCCATATTTTAGATAACTATAACTCAAGCGTTAGAGGCACTTACTTCTGTTTTTTGTAGATGTTACTCATGGCGCTAACCTCTCCTGCTATAATAAAAGGAGCTGTTGTATCGTTTTCTGTCTTTCACCGGTCTCAGATCTTATTGTAGATGAGAGGGCCATTTTCAAGATCTTACTGGGTGACCAAGTGAGCACAAGCAGTCTAGAGAGGTGCTCGTACCTCAGTACTCAATATTTAGTCATATGTGCGTCAGTCAACAAGTTGCAAGCCGCGGACAATATGTTCCGAGAAATATCAAATATCAAGCCGTTGAGGCACACCATTTGACCGAGAGGCCGATAGATTATATCGTCGCGCAGTAACAGAAAACCTGTCTGATGGGGATTTTTTACATAGAATTAATGCAACAAAGAACCAATTAGAGCTCTCTTTCACACTGAATACATGCTAAATCAAATATTTACACGTGGCGCGCCAAAGTTCTAAGGTGGCATAGCAAAACTTAACGCCATCATTTGGTCATCATGAACAGATGAGATGTCTTCACATTAATCGTCTTGACGTCCTCCATTGCTACTCACTTTCACAAGCGTGTTTATTATTGGCTGCTGCCATCTCATTGCTATCTAACCCGATTGGATGAAAAACAAGGAAAGCCAAAGTTTAGGCACAATCGACTTTAACGCCACCATCTCTATTTTGAGCGCCAGTGATCTACGGTTCTTCCCGTCAAGGCGACGTCAACAAATGCGCTCCCCTAGAACTCAATTCATACAAGAGAGAGGGAACATCTGCTCCGGATGTCGAAAACGCTTACGGAGAGCACGTCGATTGGTGACGTAATCTCACTTTGTTCGAAACTGGCATCCATATAGATTATTATTCTAATCTCGTATCTTTCTACATCACGAACAAGAGGCGAAAATATAGACATAATCATAGTTTCAAGCTGTGTGGAGGCAGCCAGAAACTAATAAGCATCAGAAGAGCTCTACCACTTTCCTTGCGGTATAAGAGCCTCTCATCTCCTCCGAGGTCTTTCTTTTATACTCTCCATTATCAAGTACAAAACCACCATTGTATCAAAAGTCTACCCTAGCCGACATCAATCCAACTCACCATGAACTTGGCGTATCGCGACAATGGCGCTCTCACCACCAACCCACCAGCAGGCGACCAACACCTCTCTGTACACGGATCAGACTGGCTCTGGGCTGTCTTTGCCGTCTTCGCCATCACATCGGTTGGTTGAGGCATGGTGGCATCAGAAGTTGGCCTTCTTACTGACAGACTCGCCAGATAATAGTTTTCGCTCTGACATGGAGAGCTAGAGCGGGAGAAAAGATCTTTCATTATCTGTTCACGATTGCTCTCCTTTCGGGTGCCGTTGCATATTATAGTATGGCTTCGGACCTGGCTTGGAGTGTGATCCCACAGGCCAACAATATTGCCCATAGTGGCCTTACGCGCCAGATCTTCTTCGCCAAATATGTGTACTGGGTCATCTCTTTTCCTGTCTTGATCATCGCCATCGGTCTTCTTAGCAGCGTCTCATGGGCAACGATTCTGTACAATATAGCCCTGGCATGGGTCTGGTAAGTTGTCATCTTCGGTGCCTTCTCCTCACTCACTCGCACACATGTACTCACAAATCTGCCTCACCCCAGGATCCTGTCCTATCTCTTCTCTGCATACACCCGGACCAACTACAAATGGGGGTTTTTCGCCATCGGCACGGTAGCCTATATCGCGCTTGCCTTCAGTACCCTCGCCCAGGGCCACAGAGGCGCTCGCCGCATCGGTTACTCTCGCGACCATGCAGGATTAGCCGGCTGGATGAATCTGATCTGGTTCTTCTATCCGATTGCCTTTGGTCTATCTGACGGGGGTAATCGGATCGGCATCACCTCCAGCTTTGTTTTCTTTGGCATCCTGGATCTCCTCTTGGTTCCGCTTCTGGCCTTTGCTTTCATTTTCCTCGCTCGTAGGTGGGATTACAATCGCTTGAATCTCGCCTTTACTCAGCACGGCCGTGTCCATCCAGCAACTGGCACTTTTCCAGGAAAGGAGACACATGGAGTAGCAGGAACAACCACAGGTAGTCCAGCAGATTCCGCTTATGCTGCTCGCACTGCTGTCTAAGCTGGCTGCTGGTTCGCATTTGCCAAACATGGTACGGGAGTAACCGAATCATACTGCTAAGGCTATTTTATCCCCTTGGTTTTTATCGAATAATAGTGGGTCAAATGAGAAAAGAAATCATAGCTAGTTGCAATAATCTATAGCAATGTATTATGGTCTATAAACACTGCTTTAATTGCGGTGCGGTAGTGTTAGAAATCTGTCTTAACAACAATTATGTCAAGAGTGACTTTATAGTTAAGAGTTAGTTTTTGCATATATCGATGACGAGCACATCGGATGGCGTGATAAAGTCATAGCGAGGGCGGATGACACCGTACAAGTAAAACGAGCTAGCACCAGACGTTAACGGATTCATTACGCAGTTCGTAGACGTAGGTGCTGCTGTTATGAGCACGGACTTGGGGTTGCTCTGTGTATTGCGATTGTTGGTCCAAGACGACAATGATGGCGGCAGCCACTAAAGAAGCAGCAAATTTAAATTTATAAGCAATCATGTAATATTTTCATGAATTTTGTGATATTATAATTTCCTCTATTATTAAACAAAGTAGAATACTATGTAATACATTGTGTTTTCTGAAATGACTAGTTACAGAAAGATTGTCATTGTAAATGCATCAGAAGACAGATTTCCTCATCTCGAGAGCGCTACCAAATCTCCCACATCTGACTGCCTACAGAAATGATTCGATTGAAGGCTGCGTCTCTCAACCTGACATCATCTAAACAAAACTCCTCACCGTCTGGTTCTGTCTTTAGCACCAAACCTCCCATTGTCTCTCTCTCCAGGGCCCAGTCCACAAGAGCTCTCCTTTTGCCACCCAAACTACCAACACCACTCACTTTCCTGACCCCTCCAATATTCGCAATTGCTATAGTCCACGTCGTGTCCAAGTCCTCATTCTCGCTCATCCAACTAACGGCCGGTGTTGTAGCTACGGTAGTGATATATAAGCACCCTTTCTTGCCTTTGTGACAGGCAGAAAAACAAACAGGGCCACCGTTGGATTCTGACGTTTTAAGAGCGCCTTGTTCGCCTTGGAGATGCCCCGAGTTTGATGGTTCCGCGGCCTTGGCGATCTTGTTGATTGCCTGTATCCCATCCTTGGTGGTTCGCTTGATACGCTTAGCAATGCGGCGCGTGGTGCTGGGTTCACCCTCTTCCTGCCTTTCGTATGTCTGTTTAGAGTATTCCTTATCTGACATTGGGTTGATAGCCATCTTTTTGTCCTCTTTAGAAGCACCTGTCAAGACTTAGGTCAGCCTCCAATCAGACGATGGCATATGGAATTCCTTTTAACTTACCAAGATGGGCTAGATCGTAATCATCGGCGTTCAGCTGTACATTAGGTGGTCCATGGGATGGGGGTGGCGGAGGTTGAGGAGTTTTATTGTTTTCTCCGGTACGAAGGAGAGTAATGGCGATCTGAGCATTCGTGGGCACTCCTTTAAGGATTGAATTCCGCAGCTCTGTATGCCGACGCCAATCAGGGCACCTGTAGTCAATGATGGAAACGCCGCGTTCGATGATGGGCTTGCCAAAGAATACAGCTCCCGCAAACAATGCCAATACTTTCATCACGGCATAGCATGAACCAAAACATGATATCACAAGCAGTGGTAGTAAACAAGTAGCCAGGATCAGCCTTGGGCGATGCAGAGGAAAAGGTGAGGTCGGGCTCAATGCATTGCCGAGCCGTTCATAAGTGTCGATGAGCTCAGGAAACATGTGCAATGCGGATCGTGTATGAAAGCTATTCACAGCGCGTGCAACGGGCTCTTTGGTCCTATCATGATTTTTTTTCCCACTCTGGTCGGCATTCACAACATCCGAGACATCTTGAACCACGTGTTCTGGCCCAACAGAGTCTTCTTCTTCCTGGGAGAACTCGCCCGAAGAGATGCTTATTAAAAGCTGCAATTAGAAAAATTAGTAAAATTAGTTTTGGATTCATGGCATATTGATAGATGTAGGGAGCAGATATAAAACTCACTGTACTAATGCTGTAGATGAAGCTATGGGCTTCTTGTTCGATCGCTTCGCCACTGTTTTCTTCTGGAGCTCCCGTAACAGATTCAGAAGCTAGCACCCCAGCAATTGGTTTTTTTACAGCTCCAGTGTGAGAATTAATAAGCGATGCCGGTGTTGGTGGAAAGCAAATGTCTCTGGCAGGTGGACAGACAATTAACACCATGAGAAAAAGAATCAAGGTAGGGGCAAGCAGATCAACAAGCCAGGCGATTGAATAGGTGCCAAAAAAATAAACTGTTCTGTTGTCTCGCCACGATCGCAGGAGAGCTATATGCTTATAGAGCGCGAGTAAGCTTATGACGACAGTCATATAAAATCGCTCAGCATGTGCTTGCATCTTCTCTGCTGTGATGTCTTCACCAGCTGCGATATTCATATCAAGATTTGACAGCGGCTGCTTGTCGATTCTTTTAACATGGAAGATTTGCTTGTTAAAACGCCTTATCAAAGTCCAAAGGTCTCCGTTTCGAATACCGGGATATGATTGTATGGGGGAAGCGGTTTCGCTATTCCAAGCAGAAGTTGCGGCTTGGAGAGTATTGTGTTCAATGTAGCGGTCTTCATCTTTGAGTTGAGGGTCTATATTAGCAACACTCTCTTGAGCAAGAGCATGGCTATCTGTAGGCGCTTTATGCATGACTATTTGTTTATTCTTGTCAGTGATGCTAGAGTCCATTGTTTGCAATAAACGGAACTTTCTATCCTTTTGAAGAAAATATCAAGACTCGTTCAAGTCTTAACTCAGTAGATTCACCATTCTGACAGTTATAAAAACACACAGGATCAAATCAACTATCTATAGTTGCTAAATTATCAATGACGCTGGCGGTGGCGACTGACTGCGGTGAAGTTCATAGCACTGTACGGCCCGCTTTGGAGATTTGGTAAAGTCAGTCAAGCACTCATCATGATCACTTGTTGTAGAAACCTTGGTGAAGTATCGGCCTAGGAGTTGACTGGATGGAATCAACTTATGTTCGCATACCCAAGGCCTTCTCTTGCATTGTCGCATTGTTGTGCTGGGCTTCTAGTAAGTCGAGGGTGGGGGCTTAACGCAGTGTGGCTCGAGGCCTCGCTGCTGGTGGAAGAGAACAAAACTAGCTGATTGGCCACATTGAAGCGGAGTGCTCCGAAGAAGTTGTTCGTGGTGAGATTAATGTTTTGGTAATGAATGGCGTTCTTCCTCCGTCCCCTCTCACCCGATTTCCCTTGATGCGTTATAGTTGCGTCTGCAGCACGCCAGCATTATACCGCAAAGTTGGAAATGAGTGTGCCAGCGGCAAGGGCGCGTTACTGTAGGAACCAGGCTGCTTACACTAGACACAGTGCCTATTATTCTTTTATATATACTATACAAGAGGTTATAGTATATAAGAAGATAGCAGCGCATATGGATAGTGCACGCCAGTCACAAGAAATGTTAACAAAAGTGTTGACTTCTATCTAAAAACTTGATGAATCTATGCATGTTGACGTGTACATCTTTATGTCAATTAATAATATACCTTCTGTACTGCTGCATATACACATGCGACTGGGCTTGGTAATTTTCATCTGGCCTAGCGATAAGCAGGCTCTCCAGGTTGCTCTGCACAGAGACTGCTCCTTCGGCTCGAACACCGATACGAAACGAACAAACAAATAATAGACGGCGTTTTTGTTTGGGTTGAAAAGCGTGAATAAGCTAAGCGCATTTCTTGAAATTTGAATCGCATTAATCTGTCCAACCATTGTTGGCCACATGGTCTTGTGTCACGAAGCGATTTATCAAAGTCGTGTTGTGTCATTCAAGCGAGCTGCTTGGACAGGATGATCAGGCATCATTTCCGCGTTTTCTTTCAAGGTGAGCAATACTAATACATCCGCCTACTTTCCTTGTGGGCTAGCGAAAGTTAATAGACCAGTACAGATGGCTATATTATGATCCCCGACCCTCTGCCTCCCAGAACTCTTAAAACCAATTCTGGACAGGACATTCTCAAGCATCCGATATTTATCGTGAGGTGCTTCTTTCTTATAGGCTCATCTTTGGACACAATAAAAGTTCGTGGAAGGCCTGGAGGAACTTCTACAAAGCACAGAATGTTCCTCCAGGTATTGAGGATCCTCTCTTGCGGAGGCTGTGTGGGAAAGACTGCCGCTACGAAACAACTTACGAGGAGATCAAAGCACCGGATGTAGCAGCGCAATACTCGGCATCAGAAGATTTTCCATTTTGGGGAGCGCGCCTATTAAAGATCCAGCAATTTGTGGTCAACAAGAATCCGAGTGACTTGAAGACGCTGTGGAATGACCGCCGGGACCTTTGTAAGTCGACTTACTCATCTAAAAATGAGTCGTGATTCACGAGACTGACAAATGCCAGTGCGCTTCTATACTTTCTGGGCAGTTGTGGTGGTTGGGGCCATGTCACTCATCCTTAGCGTTATACAAAACATTGAAGGTGGTATACAAGTGACATATGCTGCCAAGGCAAACAGGGGGTTTGAGAATTAAAGAGCAAGAAGATATGTCTCTCTTGGATGTTTACTTTACTAATTTTGCACAGCTGTTGGGAAATATAGCTTGATAGTACTGGAAATTTTATAATCGATTAGACTTATAAATATACTACTATATTTATTTTAGCCCAAAGCTCCTATTATTTTCCTTATATAGAAACTTATATAAAATTAAATATTAAGTTAATAATAATAATAATAATAGTAGTAATAATAATAATAATAAATATATATATATATTATGTTTATTATACTGTACCCTAATCTGACCACTGTAAATCAAGATAGCGCCTAGCTTCCCCAGTGCTCATCTTCCTAGTGACCAAGAATCGAGCGCTCCAAGGATCGTGTTGTCTCCGCCGTATACGGCCTACAGTATTTTGCGTCGCGTCATATTCCTCTTACTTCTTATGTGCTCTATGGCGTATTTCTTTCGACTGGCCTGGCCATTCTCGTGGCCCTCGGGGACCCCACGGCGATCGATTGATCTGTTGACTGCAACCGCAGAAGATCTCCAACAGCTCTTGAAGGCTGGCGAGCTCACGAGCCTTGAATTGGTTGATAGATGCTTCGCTCAGATTGATAAGCATGACGATTATCTTAGGGCCGTTCTACAGAGAAATCCACAAGCCAGGACAGTGGCGGCCACCCTAGACCTCGAACGCAAGAATGGCCACCTACGTGGGCCCCTTCACGGGATCCCCATCCTCATCAAGGTTTTCTTCACCTTTACTCGAGTTACTCGATCTACATGTACATGGCAAGAATAACCAGTTTCTAGGACAATATCGCAACCCACCCAAGCCTGGGAATGAACACGACGGGGGGCTGTCTTGCCTTGCTTACATCGCGACCGTCAAAGAGCGCTGAGATTATAGAAAGAGTGAGTCGTTGGACACACCTTCTCCTCTCCATTGCGGCACATTTACACCTCCAGCGTGTCTTCTTTTCTTTTCTGGCCTTTCACGTCATCAAATGCAGTCGGCATTAAGCATTTCTAGCCCTATGACTATCAGTTCCAGCCCATTTGTGTTCCTGTCTAACCTCACTGCGAAGAAATCCTAACAAGATGCAGATTCTTGAAGCAGGGATGATTATCATAGGGAAAACACAGTTATCAGTGAGTACTTCCTTGAACTGGCTATAATTACCGTATCTAATGTACAGGTCACCAGGAACTCGCTGGGTTCAAGTACGCAACTGACACGGCTTCGTCCAGCTTCGTCCGACTACTTATCCCTTCTCCGTGCGGTAACTAATGCTTCCTGTCAGAGGCTCAAATATCATGCCTGGATGGTCGGCTTTAGGCGGTCAAGCGCAATCTGCATACACTACCGGTGCGGTAGATTTGACTGACCGTGTCCTTGGGCACTCGGTGAGTAGCGGAAAATGAATACTCATTAGCCGAGATGACATGTGTCAAGAAGATGGCAGACTTGACGTTCTACAGTACTTACTAACGTTGGCAAATATCTATAGTCACCCTCTGGCTCATCAACAGGCTCTGCCGTTGGCGTCAGCGCAGGTTATTCCCCCTTGGCGATAGGAACGGACACTGGAGGGTCTTTGATCACACCGAGCACCCGAGCGGCGTTATATACTCTCCGACCAACGATGAACCTGATCCCACAGGATGGCTTGATACCTCTGTCCCATTCATTCGATACTGTGGGACCGATGGCAAAATCGCCTGCTGATCTGGCAAACCTTTTGGATGTCTTAGCCACTCCGAAGGGAAGCGAAAAGAGAAGATTTCGTTCTCAAATGATGGCTGGTGACTTCAGAGACTTCAAAATCGGGTTTCTCTCCCCAGAAACATGGTGTTTTGACTCTGATCTACAGCGCCCAGTGCCAGAAGCCACGGCGCAGATAGTAAGATGATTGAGAGCTGGAGTTCTTTACAGAGTCACTAAACAAGATTCTCTAGAAAACAGACACTCAGGCTGCTTACGCAAAGCTAGCGCTTACGGCAAAGTCATTCAAAGCAGTAGAACTTGTATCCATCGATGCATTTGAAGTGAATGGGCGGCATAGTTTCTACGACATTCAAAGTTAGCAGCCTCTTGCTCAACTGCCACTGAAAAATGATCTAACTTGTTCAGCGGCTCGGTTTAAACCCACATTTGAGGCTTACCTTGAAACCCTCGAAGATTCCCAAGTACGGAGCCTGGATGAACTCATAAGGTTCAACCAGAACCATGCAGAAAAAGAGCTTCCACCAGGCAAGTCGTCATTCATCACACAAGTCCCTACTTTCCCACTGACCCTACTCAGACTACGACAACCAAGACCAGCTCCAGAACGCCGCCACAATGACAATGTCAGATCAAGAGCATGATTTTCTTCTAGGACATGCGCGCAAAGTTGGTCGAGACATTGGCATTGACAAGACACTCAAAGAATATGACGTAGATCTGGTCATTGCGCCAGCTGACTCTGCCGTAAATCTGTTAGTGTCGGCTGCTGGTATGGTTCCACGACACCTAAGTTGCTCGTAGGCATTTTTAATAATCGACAGGCTACCCTTCCGCAACAATGCCATTGTCATACCTCAAGTACAACGGCCGGCCCATTGGTTTGGTTGCATTTACGACTGCCGGGGGTGAAGAAATGCTGTTAAACTTCCTGCGTGCGTACGAGGATACCTTCCCAAAACGACGCCCCCCTAGTCGCCTCTAAATAAAGACGTTTTACAACAACAAGAAGCGGTAAGGAAAGCACACAGAGTTCACGGGAGACCTAGCAGACGATGGGCTCAATTGTGGTTGGATCAGAGCAGGATAGTCCTTGTCGATAGGCCTTTGTAGAATGAACTCTCAACTTATGCACCGCATGAATATCATCATGGAGTACCTATAGGTCCGTGTACAATTCACCTTTGGTTATTACTAGGCGCATTTCAGTTTGATCAGAATTGGTAATCCAGAAAAATACGAAGTTCAATAGGCCTTCAAGTCCTCCTTACCCACGTCACCGCAACAAGGTAGCAGAGCCAGCGTCTTGATCAAATTGATAAGACAATCAGGTAGACATATACACACGCACATACACGCATCGAGAGAAAACATCAAGGCTACTTAGAGTGAGATGCGTCATTTGCCTGGACAGGTCTCGTGGCTCAGTAAGCTATAGGCCAAGTCAAGAAAGTACTTTGAGAAGGATGAGGGTAAGAAATCAGCTAACCCTAGGTAGTTCTGTGCGGTTGGCACAGAACCTATCCGCCAATCCCATTACCGATATATCACACATACTAGCTTATCATATTGGTCTTCTTCAGAAGAGTCTTCTTCAGAAGAGTCTTCTTCTTTTCTTATACCAAATTTTCCCTCCAAGCTCTCCTTTAAGTGGCTTGCTCGTGATAGTAAGTTTTTGATTTCTGACAAGTCTTCCGTAGTTCTCTCTAATCCACATAACTCAGCTAGTTTTCGCAACACTCTTGCTTCTTCTCCTCCTGAACCCTGCTGTACAGCTTGACGTTGCGCATCCTCGAGTTGCCGCCTTTTGTTTTTGAAGGAGGGGGTGTCAGCAGACTGATTAGAGTTTGGTAGAATTGCATCTTACTTTGCGGTTTTCAGGTCTCCAAGTTTCATATTGACACATGCTCGCTTGTAGAGGAAGCTAGCCATGAATATGTCATGTTTGTTTTCTTCTCTCTGCATCTCCTGACCAGTCACGTAGCACCTTTCCGCCTCTTGCAGGTTCTCTTTTCTCATTGCAAGATTACCAAGTTCGAAATAAACACTATTTGGTTATCGTGCTCAATCAGCAAGTACACGCTCAAGTGCGTATGCAAAAAAAAAAAAAAAAAAAAAAAAATTCAGGAACACCCTGACGCACGGGGTCTGTTTCTGGATCTTTAACTTACTGTTGCATATACTGGCCGTTTTCGCCATGTTCTCTACGAACAATCTCTCGAGCGTTGTAAAACCTCACTTCGGCATCTTTGAGATCTCCCATTCGGCAACGTAGACGGCCAATAGCAAGATTTACGAAAGCGAGAGCAATATTTTCGGGGAGATGGAATTGCCTACGAGTATCTTCCACCTGAAGAAGAAGCTGGAGAGCTTTCTCGTCGTCTCTGTTCGAGGCTAGTAAATTTGCTTGGTTGGAGAGGATTCCAACATATTCCTCAGAAGTCTCCTCCCTGTGAGGCTTCATAGCAGACAAAACCACATCGGAATGAGCAAAGGCATTTCTCAAATCATTTTTGAGCCATGCCGTAGCGAGGAGCGAATTGTGAAGATGCGCGTAGAGATATGTGGTCGGGTCGATGGCCTTTAAAACAATCTCACTAATGCGCTGGACCTCGGAATGTTGTCCGGTTTCGACTAAATACCTAATCAAGGCTTAGTTCTTCTGTCAAACCCGTATTATTTGAGATGGTATATACCAAATACAGTTGGAGAGTAGTTCTGAAAACTTTTGAGAGGGATGCAGCTTCCTATTTGACGTTAGAGAATCTGCATACACGTTGGCGAGCCAGACGCCATGCTGAATGAAGATGTGACACTTGTCCCAGTAGAGATGGAGCGGGCGACCTTCCACTTGTTTCGGGAAAGCATGGTGAACTAAGGTTACCGCGAGGTCAAAGAACCTTTGGGCTGTCTCGTCAGTCAGATCGTTAAGGAATGCACTTTGAACAAGGCGGTGTATCGAAACGCCTGTGAAGCCCGGATTCGAATTGATCAGCCCTTGATCCCGAAGCGAACCCATTGCAACCTCGTATCTAACAAGAGTTGACGCGGTTAGGCCCGAAAATCACCAAAGAGGTTTGGAAGTAACTCAACTTTTCAGAGTCTTCGCAGAAGTTAGGAGCATCATGAAGAGTTTCATAGTCTTCACTCATGAATAATTCCCGAGGAATTGAATCCGGAGAACAGAATGACAGAATCCCAAGCAATCTGAAACTATAAATTTGACCCCTTCTCTCTTCCTTCTCCAGGATGTTGAAGGATTCACTCCATATCGTTTCCAATGTCAGATCGTAATCAGCTAGCTCGCCTTTGGCCGATCCCAGTTCACCTTTATGGTAGCGTTTGAGGAAAGTTTGGACAGACTGGCTCTGAGAAGCGATTCGTGTGGCTATTGTACATATGCCGATCGCTAAGCCATCCACCTTTCTGAGTAACATCTCGGCTGCTTTTAGTTCTTCTGGGTTGTCCGTGATGTGGTGGTAGTCAGGACCCAAGGATTTCGAAAAGAGCTCCTTCGAGTCAGCAAGAGAGAATTTGGCGAGATTTAAAGTCCCTCCTCTTGACCTAAAGAACGCTAATTCTTTAGGATATCTCGTCGTTATCAACATCGACGCTGACTTTGAGTTCCATGTTAGATCCTTGAGATGTTGCGCAACAGACACGTATGTCTCAACGTTGTCCCAGATGATAAGCCAACGGCCACCTTATGACGAATTCATCATCAGCCCGAGCCCAAAGAAGTGAGTAAACCTCCAAGTAGCGACTGACTGTTGAGTTTAAGGAAATCCAGTATAAGCTGCTGATTTTCTTCCGAATTGCTAGGCGCACCTGGCAGTCGAAGCTCAGAGACAATCTCAGTGAAACTTTGGCTGAGTGAAAGAGCTGTCTGTGCTTTTATCCAGAGTATAACATCAAATTGGCGGGCGTACTTTTTTGCGTAGGCCATGGCTAGTTTGGACTTTCCGACACCTGCAAGACCGCAAATGGTGAACAATTTGTCACTCTTGTCAACTTGCGAACCCAAGGCCGAATTTATCTTTTCGAGTTCGACTTGCCGGCCATAAAAATCAACGTCGCTGTAGTATGGTGCTTTCCCACAAGGCAACGATAGGTCTTTGGGCAGTAATGACCGGAGCGGCACGCCACTTGGGACTACTGAGAGGTTTGGTCCGGACTCCGGCATGGTAGCACACACTTTCAGGTGATCGAACGTGCCGTTTACTTTTTTGATCTCTCGTTCATAATCATATGAAGTGCCCTGCTCGTCCTTTCTTGTAGAACTCGTTAGTCGTTGGGTCTTGTAATTTAAACAAGACATACCATTATGATACGCTCGCATAAAGTTGACCGTGTCTACCCAAAATAGAATCAGAGCAATAAAGGCATCATTCAAGATCAGCTTCAAGTCTTCATCAAATCGGGTATTCTGATGAGCTCGCTTGCATTCCTCTAAAGACCTGGTGACTTTCTCTAGCATCTCGATAACGTCTTCCTTCAATTTGTTGTTGTTCATCTCAGTCATCTGTCTCAAATACCGGTTAGTGTAACAATCTCGACCGCTTATTGTACGCTTGTCAGCTCACATCAAAGCTCACATCGACGAGGAGATAGACTAGACCCCAGAAGATGGAGGATTTCAAGGTTCTGGGAGACATTGTAACCACGAAAAAGGTGAGAAATAACTTCATTGTCTGAATGGGACGTCGGATTCGAAAGAAATTACGCCTGTCAAGAGGTCCCCCTTTGATATCTTCCAAAAGAAGGTCCGGCGTGGAAAAGCTTTGCAGCTTTGTAAAGTCCTCTTGGCTCAGGGTTTTTTCGCATTGGGCTATGGCAATGGCCCAGCCAGCGACAATGTCGTCGGAATCCTATAGTTCTATTTCTGATTGGATTCGGTTTCTTCAGAATGGATTCCCAATGACTCTGTGATGATGGAGGGGAAGGACATACTGGCTCTCGTCAATGGAAACATCTGGCGTATAATCCAGCGTTCCGGTAGTAATGTTATCAGAAATGTTTAAAGTTTCCATCCTATCCATTACGCAAATAAACTGCGACTGTCAGAGGCTATTTGAAGTAAAGTTCCAGCGAGAACGAAATGTATTTGTATGTTGGGTGGCGGCAGGTGAGGAAGGCTAGGAAAGCCCTACTCATGAATCGAGAGCTTTCAGCACTTTAGAGTCAGACAGCCCTCACAAGCAGAACCAGTAACACTCCAGGTGTAGCAGCCACTGGATACATGCATGCCTTCAGAATGTTAAGGAGCAAGGTCACAGTACAAAGGAATGGGGTGCAGTAGCGTGGGAGCGCTATGGTAACATCCAAGCTTGTGTAATGTCCTGGCCTATGATATTAGCTAAGTATAAAAAAGTAACAAACGCTATAGTATTCGGTAGCATTATGGCTTATATCTTTACACCTACACAGCTTGATTAAAGGAGGCTAATAGTTGTGAAGAAGAGGCATAAAACTAAGTAGACAAGCATCGTTGTTTCTTATAGCCTAAAGGCATTGTAACCTCCTCCAACTCCCCACATATAGAGTCCATCAAGTCACCGCAATATAAGGCAAAGTGTTTAATCATTCCTCCTGCTTAGAACACCTCTTTAACTATAGAGTAAAAGGCATGTAAATGGCCTTCCAGGGATAAGCTGAGAATAGCCAAAGCAACTTAAACTTATATTGACCCAATCTTTTCCCAAATACAGTATAGTTTTCCAATCTAGTCCCATATTGACGTCATCAAGGGATACGGCGTAGCCCTTGATGATGTGAAAGCGGGACTTAGAACGGTTATTTTTGACCAGATGGCAAGGGTCAGGTAATATAACTCCAAATTTGGGTCAAGCCGCTAACAATTGGTTTAACAGCCCTGGTAGCTCAATTGGCTAGAGCGTGCGGCTTTTAACCGCAAGGTTGGGGGTTCGACCCCCCCCTAGGGCGTAATATCCATTGGCAAAGATGGGCATTCGTCGCCACTGTTTCATTTTGCCATATTTTTCTTTTTCTCGGATCAATACATGCGATACCAAGCAGTGCGATCCTATATCATAGGTATTCCATCAATTTACTTACTTTTTTTTTTTTTTTTTTTTTACTCTGTTTCTTTTCTGTTCGCGCCTGGGACTCCATTTCTACTTCGTATCAAGCGACCTATCTGAGCTGCATGCTGTCTGCGGAACACGGCGTCTAGAAATTGGCATTTAGCAATACGTATTCTCTTACTTGGAGTCGCACCCAAAGCCGTATCACTCAAGGTTCGACCACCCTAGGATCAAAATACGGACGGTGGTGGTGACGCAAAGCACGGCAGGGACAAGGCTCGTATCTTGTGTCACGGCGCCAAAAGTGAGTTGAGACAGTCAAAGATTCAGACGAGCAACGGGCGAGAGGCAGCAAATGGACCCCCACCCAAAATTGCATCACATCAAATCCTATCTGGTGAAAGCACATGTGAAGAGGCTCCATGGCAGCTTGGCAGCCGGGGAAGGAAATCTATGACCACAGTCAATCAACTCGCAGCGGTGGCCACTCAGGGAAACTGGCAGCAGGTCAATGTCACAAGTAATTTCGTGTAACGACGGTGAACAATCATTGGATCGTCGCCGTGCACGGATGTCCCAAGAGAAAGAGAAGGACACAGAAAGAGTGCATGCAACTCTACAGGGGTCTAATGCGTGAACCAAGTGCCGCAAGAAGCCCCAGCGATGTCCAGATACGGGATTATAAAAATTTTCTCTCTTCTTGCCTCTTCGTTTACCAAATGAAACAACGAAGAAGCCTGATAAACGTTCCATGCTCTTATTCCGACTTCACGAGGTCGCAGCGTTGGGTTGAAACGAAGCTAGCAGTCGAGCCAACTAAGCGCGATGCTGAGCGAATGATGGACAGCATCAAGGGGGCCGACCCCTGCAGCCTTGCCAGAGCGTCCCACCCGACCTGAGACGTCGTCGTCTCAGGTGAAGCAGCGATTAGCAGCTCCCAGCGGAGACGGGCGTGTCTTGCTCTGCAGTTTTTTCTTGGTGCGTTGTCACGAGGTGCGATTGACAGAAGATCCAAGCAGAATGCTGCACGCTGTGAGTCGCACAAAACGCTCAATACCTGGTAGATGGACAAGATGCCAAGCCGTGCAAGTTACAAGAAGTGCTTACATATAGCAATAATCTCAATATTGCACATTTGGGGAAACTGGTCGCTTGTCAATGGCATGAATCTGCTACACGAGTTGCAGCACTTTATCGTCTTTTTTCGATCCACTCCCGGAAACTCGTCTGATGTGAGCACTGGCTGACATGGATAGGACGGGCAGCAATCCTGTGAGGGTCCGCGAATAGGGCTGCGACAAGTTTTGGAGTCCAGCAAATATATGTACGTGTATATGTACGTAGGCATGCGCAAGTGCGTTTGCTAAGCCTGCAGGCGGCAGAAACGCCTCGACAAAAAGCAGCATAGCTTCGAATGTTCTCGTTCATCTCTAGCAAACAACAGCATCAGCAGAAGAAGCGGGAGAAGAAGCCAAACCACCGCGTTGCGCTGGCCAGTGCAGCTGCCGTCACCAACGACGGCCAGGGCCGCTCAAGTACCGCACCAACAAGAAACCGAAAGCCGTGGCCATAGGCTCGAAACAGGTACATGCAACAAACACGATTCATTGGCTGGCCCCCATGAGCTTACTTCAAGGCTCCGTGGGAAAACGTACAAGTAACGTATCTGTACCTGTCACATGGCGCGCTTGAGCCAGGATGAGGCTCGAGCTCGTTCGAGTATCGGAAATCAGTGGGCAGGCGAGGCGGGACACCGTTGGGCGCAGTGGGGCTGGACCCTGACAATGAAAAAAATACAGAGGAGCTTGCGGAGCTTTCTCCTGGGAAGAGGAGGAGACGATGGGGATGGAGTAAAGAGAAGAGACAGATTTCTAAACTTGTCACAGAAAAGAGGGAGAACAAAAGGCGAGTAAGAATCCTACGAAGAGGGTCTATGGCGGTGAGATGGCAGTTGCAGTCAGTTCCAGCACGATGGAGCTGATGGCGATGAAGTTTCAAACGTCTCAACTGACAAGGAACGCTGGAGGTCGATACCATGAGCCGATCAACGACAGCGGGTGTGGCGAAATGCTCAAACGCTGCAGGTTTCGGTGCAGGGGGGACCTCCCAACGGGCAATTACTACAGGGAGAACGAATGCACGCATTGGGATCGGGTTGATTGCCGCAGCTAAAACAACGTCAACGTCGGCTTTACTGTAAGTGAACCAACATGCGCTATCGATTCTTGTTCATACGAGGCCTGATTAAGAAGGGTTACATTCTGCTGCTGCTCTCCGAATCCCTTGTCGTATCCCAATGAAGCAAGCCACATGAGGTGGCCAACTCGTCGCAAGTATCTGCCGAGTAATTATTAGCAATCATTAGCAATATTCTACCGCCATGATAAGTTTGAGGTATCAGGTTGGAATTATTGTTTGCTGTACTTGTATTGCAGACAACGTACGATACCAACAGGGCACTGGAACATGCAACAAGCAGAACGATACGTTTTGAGAAAAAAATCTACCCCATGTAAGTAGTTGTGTGCAAGGATCTGAAAGGAGGGGTGGCTGTAGAGAAGCCTCATCCACCACCAAGTTGAGCCATCTGAAGTCGTGGTGCCACAGATTCGCGACTATTGCGCTTTTCAACGAGAGGCGAAAGATATACACAGAGAGAAGAGAAAGGAGAGAAAGGAGGGGATATGACATGTTTTGTGAGATGTGAGGCAGTACAGCTCTGGTAGATACACGTACCTGCCTCAGGTAAGAGCTCATGCGAGAAAATCCGCCAACATCAGAATTTGCTCGCATGAATACCCACACTGCCATGTTTGCGGCATTGCTGCGATAAAGCAAAGCAAGATACATATGCCTCAATACTGTATGTAGCCAAAAACAATATCCGAGGTCACTTTGCACCGGCAACTCGTACCAGCAGATGGGTTAAGCCCAGCAACCACAGCACGACTAGCAGCAGCCAATAATGGGGAAGTCGGCGAGATCGACAGGGCCAGACGGCTAGTTTCTCTCAGCTAATTTGACTAGGGCCTTAGCACGCAGCATAACAACTGATGGAGAGGATGGCTATTGGGAGCAAAGTTGTAGCTAGATCTTGCGTCTGGAGTAGCCATGTGGAGAGACGTGATGGTAATTTAACCACCACATGGAAGGGACCGGGATGTCATTAAACTGCGGCCATGTCTAGATTGAAGCGTGGGGTGGAGGGCTTGCAAGAATAATCCTCCGTTTGTGAATACAATACCTGATACGTGTCGTAGGTAGATGAAGTCATACCACATGAACGCTGAACATGAAGCCATCGCCTTTCAGATTCGCGGTTAGGCAAGAAACAAGTGCAAGGCAACTTGATGCGACTTTAACCCCCTGTCGTGACAAAAAGACGTCCACTACTTGCAGCTGCCGAGGCACGGTTGTATCCATGCCAATAGTTTCTCGAAGCTGTCCAATCCGAGCATGCTGCGCGCTGCGTCCCTCGCTTGAGCGGAGCGAGCCACAACTACCGTATCTGTACATCCAGTCTTGTGCTCACGCAAAAGGTAACATCTGCTAGCAGGCCCATATCGTCGTCGCACCCAACGAGATCGCGAGGAACATGCTGGGCTGATCGCTACGATACCAGTAGCGGGTTATGGCGTCGGAATATTTCTTCCCACTTTCTCACCTTTACGAGCTCCTTGGGCTTGTCCAGTCTGAGGCACGTCGGTATCGGCTGGCGTCTCACCATTGAAACGCTACAACCTCACCACGCAAAATGTCGAACATACGCGCTCCGCACCAGGGGAGGAAGAGCGGGGGGGCTCCCCCGGTCCCAGCATGCTGTGGCTATAACCGCAAGGGCCAAGTCGTTGATAGTGGAAACACCAGCAGCCTGAATTGCTGTCTGTTCTGATTTTCACGAAACGGCAGTGGCATCAGCTGGGGGCTGTGGTGTAGCGGATCCCGTGCGACGGCGCTGGGATATCCATCGAAAGACGGCAGCTGGGTTCGGGGTCACGAAGCAATTGTTATGGAATTGTAATTGCAGAGCGGGCATGAGCACTGCCACTACTAGAGAGCAAAACGAGCTTTTCCGCAATGCCTTTTATTATGCATATCTTCTTTTTTAATTGCTTCTGACGTCTGTCGTCTGCGGCTGTCTAAAAATACAGATTCGAAATTACCTCTGAAAATGAAATGTCAATGCCAGGCTGGGGGCCGATGATCAGCACCACCCGAAATGTCCTCTCGCAACAAGTCAGACAAGCGCCAAGGGACTTGCAGGGCCTACAGGGCTCGCTCGCAGCCTAAAGTCGCCTGAGAAGAGTGCTAGCAGCAAGGTAAAACACTCTACCGGCGGGTGAGTGGACAGCCCAAGGATGAGGCCAGAGCCTGCCTCGCACAGCGCAGGTGAGGCGGAGGGGCGGTGGATCATGATGCAGCCAGTGAGAGGCCGCAGAGGGCCGCCAGCTTGCGAGAGCCCCTGGTTCGTTCCCGATGCACTGCATGGGAAAAAAAGAGACCAGCAACGGTGGGCTTGAATTGTTCTGTTCTGTTGTCCATGTTACTGTATCAAATCCTAAAACCACGCCCCCTCGAGGCCGCTGCAACACAACAGCCTGTGACAGCGAGCCTAACTGGCGCTGCTATATGCCTACTGTACAGTTCAGCGCTCAATGCCAGTCCTCAGCTGCAACCTGCCATACACCCCCCCTTGCCTGTTTTCGATCCATCATCTCCCATCCATCGCTTCAGAAGCGTCCAGCACCCTCTGAAAATCTGCTCCGGCTTCCGTGTCACGGCACCGCTTCCCCCTCCCTCTGTGACGAACCCGGCCCCTTTCATTCAGGCCTGGCGGGAGGCTATTCAGACGTGCGGATTGCCGCGAGCTCCATCGATTCATGCCAGAGGCGCGGCCGACGAAATAAAACAAGTGGCGCCTGCCCCTCCAGCCCTCTGCCGCTTTCTTCCCTTTCTGCCCTCTTCGAAGTCGATTCTTCAAATCCTCCCCTCGCCTCTAACCACCCTCTGTCTGTTATAATCATCTCTCGTCTCCTACACTCGCAAAAAGACAAAAGACTTCAACCTCTCTTCTAGCGCCGCCTAAATCGCCGACCACCGCATCCAGCCGTCCCTCCATCCATCCATCCAGGCGACCCGTGCCCAAAAGCGCAGCAAACAGGCACTTCCAGGCCCAGCCGTCTGCTGGAACGCCTCCATCTCATTCGCCAGCAAAAGCCCTGGAGCCGCCCTCGGCAACCCCTGGTGTGCGTGGGCGTATGCAGCTGCACTAACGTTCTGGACCTACGGGCGCTTGTGCGAGTACTCAATACCAGCGGCACAGCAGCCATTTCAGCCCCAGCCCGTGCTTTGGCTTACGGCCTGCCCAAATACGAAGTACTCCATACTTTGTCCCCCGATCGCAATATATTCGGACAAACCACAATCTCGAATCGCCAGTCTCCTGAAACGCATCCCACGCACTCGGCCTTTCCCCCCCAGTTGGCCTTTTTTCCTCCCTCTTCCCGCCAACTTTACAAGGCGTTTGTTTCCTTGCAACGCAGGCAAGGCAAGCCTTGACTTGACTTTTCTCTTTTCTCAGTCTATTCATCGACGCTGGGAAATTCGCGATCGAATCATTCTTCTATTTTTCTTTTTACCAGCAACAGCGAGAAACACCACCCGCGAAGCATACCACTTGGTGGAGGAGAGCGTATTGGACCCTGTCAGTTTCGGCATACTCTGGGTTCCCGTTTTCGATTCTTGCACCCGATTTTGTCCACCAGACAATCAGTGATAATTCAAGCGACTCTCGCACGCTTCTGCGACTGCGTGGTTCGTCGACTGATTCGGCCCAGCTTCACTTCAGGAAGCACGGAAGCCCGTTACTTTTCTTTTTCTCGACTGTATAATCTCAACCCTCAAGCCCATCGTCACCATGAGCACCGCAGTCGCCATGGTCCCTTCGCCGGCTCCTCACGAGAGGAGCTCATTTGCTAGCGACCGCCCTGCACCCACAGCAGTAACAACTTCTACATCGCCACCGGCACAGAGAAACGCGGTGCCCTCACAGCCGAGGAGTCAACATACAGGCGCAACAGCCGCGAGCCAGTCGCCCAACCGTGGCAGCCCCAAGTCTGACCATGCTGCTGCAAACAAATTATCACCCAACGCGTAAGTCTTTGATTGCCTGCCTTGTCTGGTTTCTCTGTCCACAGTGGTTGCGCGCACTTTGCTGACAAATGCCCCGTTGTAATAGATCTCGAAATGATGCCGGACACCCCAAGATCGTCGTCAAAAAGGAACCAGTGTCGCCCAGTCTGCCCGCTTCAAGGCCCCGACCCAGACGTCTAGATTTGTCCAAGAACACACTCGCTGGATCGAACCCTTCCTCAGCCTACCCGCTGACCGCGCGCGGCGATGGGCTGGGCATCCAAGAGGTCGGCATCGCATGCCTTTCTCCTGGATTCATGACTCAAGATCCCGCAATGAAGGAACAGCTTCAGCGAAGTATGAGCGTGCGAGAGCAGCAGCGAATTCTCATCGAGGCCAGGCTACAGCAGCAACAGTCAGCCAAGGGAGATGGGCCATCCGACAAGGACAAGGAACCAAACTTTGCCGCCAAGACACCAGGCATGTCTCGCAGGAATAAGGCTCCCCCGGGGCTTTCCATCGTTGCACCTTCACATCAGCAATTCGCAAACGAAAGAGTGATTCAGTCTGCCCCGCTTGGCCGCAGTTTCACCGGACAGCACATGCCCCCATCAAGAAACGTACATAACCAGGCTTCCAACCTTTCTCACATTCATCACGTGCATGCCAACCAGACTGCCAACCGTCTGCCACCTATTAGCGATGTCTTTGGCCAGAATCTCTCAGCGCATCCCGAGAATGGGCCACATACCTCTGCCCTCTATCCTAGCCACGCGGCTTCACGGCCCCAGCTGTCCCCTGGCCTTCCGCCGGCTCACCAGGCGCCCATGTCTGGCCGTATGAGAGAGTACAAATCTGCAGAGGAGGCCCAAAATGAATTGGCCGGTGGACGAGCAGAGCTTCTGCCCAGACTTGTCCACTACGGCGGCCATCAGCCCCCTACTCCTCCTTCACCCGTTGGTGCCGGCAACCGCATCCCAGAGGCTGCCCAGGGCGCCAGCAGAAGGCGAACACGCGCCGAGTATGAGGATGGCAGCAGCCCACCACTGGGCTATGGCCCTCCTCCTACCCGACGTGGCCCCTTTGGCGCCGGCCGTGACAGCCCAGAGACACAGCGAGCGAAGAAGGAAGAATTTATGCAGTTATGCGCCAGAGCTTGGGATCTGTTTCACTCCTAAAGCAATATACTAGCTACAGCACTCTTATCTATTCCGGAGTGTGAAGTTGAGCGAAACGAGACAAGAGCTCGTCTATATCACGGTGACATGATACTATTATTTAAAGAAAGAACCCTTGTGCGGTTCACATTTTCATGCCTTCTTCATCATCCTAATGGATGACCCTTTTTGGGTTCGATTTTCCCTTTGTCTATCGGAGCTTCTTGTTGGGAGGGTCACCAATCCTCTCCCTAGCTTTCCTTCCAAGATATGCTGGGGCTGGCAACATGAGGCTTTCACATTACGATATATCTTCATTTCATATTTGGCCCAGTTCGGCAAGCTTCTAATCAAGGCTAGCCATGTAAGGAGAGGGAAACTGGAAGAGTAGCCACTCCTGTTTTGTGTGTTATACTTTTTTCTACGATATATATCTACTGGCAATGGCGGAAAGGGAAAAGGAGGGATCCGATTGCCCACAGCGTAATACCAGTGTGGCTCGGCAGAGGCAACGCGGGATATGGAAAGGAGATGGAGATGGTTTCTTCTCATTTGGCGTTGAATGTGTGGTTATTTGGGATCCATTACTCTGCATTGGGAGGAAGTGATGAATGGATATACGAGGGAGACTCTATTCGGTCATCCCCCTGCTTTGCTATCCTGATTTTTCTTTTTTGTTTGTTTTGTGTTTTGAGTCGCCGGCGTACTACAGGCGCTGGGGGTTTAATGGGCGTTTCGAAGTGAGCTAGTGTTGCCAAAGAGCGTAGCAAAGCACCATGGATGCTTCTAATTCAAACGTGTTGAAAGTCAAAGATGTGTTGAGCTGAGTGATTGATATCTTTGAGTTGAGTCTTGTCAAGGAATACTTGTGAAGATGTGCTCATTCCATCTCATCGAACTTTTTGTTTTCATTTTGACTTGCTGTCTTCTAAATCAAAACTTGTGCTCATTCCAACTCATCCAACTTTTTGATTCCATCGACTCAACTTATTACATCATTACGTGACCGTCCCTCTTTGCAGTTTCGTTCCTTGTCTATGTCGCTCTCTGCACTTGAACCTCGCCCGTCGGCGTGCCAAAATAAGCCGCAACCGGCTTCTGCGCCTGAAACTCCTTGCCCAGACTCACAGCCTCGACGCCATTGAACCCCGTGAACAGGCCAATCTCGACAACGCCCGGCAGCCTCACCAGCTCCTCGGCCAACTTGCCCACCTCCCAGACACCGTCCTTGCCGGCGCCGTCCACGCCGGGCTTCAAGTCCCGCGCCAGCAGCAGCGGCGCAAAGGGCGCGTCAATGATCCACATGCCGTTGTCGGTGACGCACTCGCCGGCCTTGCTGGGCAGGCCGGAGCGGACGGTCGGGCTGGGGGAGCCCATGGCGCGGAGGCGGGCGAGGACGGAGGGGGCGGCGAGGGGGAGGACCTCGATGGGGATGGTTTTCCAGGTTGTGCAGAGGCGGGGGGACTGTTTGCGGGAGTCTGTTGGTTGTTAGTTGAGGTGTCTTCATGTGAATATACATCGATAAAATATATGTAACTGTGGTTGTTGCTCTGTATATATAAAAAACTCACCGGCAACAGCGACAAACTTCCTCCCAGCCACAGCAACCAGCTTCTCCTGGAACAAGCACCCGCCCCCTCCCTTGATCAGATTCAGCTCCTCATCCACCTCATCCGCGCCGTCAAACACCACGTCCAGCGCAACCGGCACGCCGTGAGCATCGACCGGCCTCTCATCCAGATTGCACAGCCGGAGCCCCGCCGCCTTCAGCAGACCCTTGGACTGGCTGCCCGTCGGAACAAACGTCATGTCGCCGTAAAAGGAAGGGCCCTTGGCGGCAATGGCCTCGACGACGTAGACGACGGTGCTGCCGGAGCCGATGCCGATGAAGCGGTGCGAGGGGAGGAGGTGCTCGTCGACGGCCTGGAAGGAGGCGGCGAGTTTGGCGGAGTTTATTAGGCTTGTGGAGGATGACATGTTTGCTGTAGTTGTTGTGTTTCTGTTGAAATATCTGTGGTGTTTTATATGTACACGTTTATATGTGTTTGTGTGTATATAAGTGGTAAATTTTATATGAGTGAGTTGAGGTGATGAGAAGATCAATCTAGTGCCACTATAGCCGAGAAGGGAAAGCGGCCCGGGCGTGCGCTGCAATTGTCTCTGCGCAAAGTACAAAGTTGAGAGTATTGGTTGCGAGATCACGAGACCTGCCTTGTGCATGGTGCAAAATTGCAAGTTTCTATCTCCTTGGTCGAAATGCGGCTTTTTTTCTTCTTCCTGCGTCTGTCTATTAATTGAGCTTGTTCCGCCCGGTCAAGCTGTATACTGCAGTTTCTTTAACGGAAGAAAGCTGCAATGTTGCGTGCATTCAGCCGCAACTCAGCTTAGTCATCCCGGCTGAATCTCAGCTTCTTCTCCAAACATGGAGGGGCAGAGCAGAGCAAAGTATCGGTACGTCACAGCGATTTACCTCTAGTGAGATTCCAAGGAAGGAAACAGCCATAAGCCGTTCCATCTACAGCAACACAAGGGGGGGGGGGTATAAGAAACAAAACAAAAATAAAGATAAAATCAATTTTAAAAAACCCCAGATTGTATCATCATCGGACAATCGCGGACAACCACAGCGTTCACATGATTGAGAGTCGCGGAATATCCCATTAGGAAGAGAGAAACAGGCAACTATGATATCATTCCCTCTTCTTCGCAAAAAAGGGATATGATCGCCCTTCTGTTTTCGGGCAACAAGCCAAAAAAACATGAAACGTATTTATGATGCCCAAAATCAAGAAAAATACAAAATTGATAGGTACCTTACCCAGATAGAAACTCAACTCACAGCGGTATAGTAGTGAAAGATAGAAGGTGTAAAAAGTATAGGTACGGGTGTGTATCCATATCCGCCTTACCCAAGCCCGATCGCCACAAAACAAAACAACGGTGGTGTTGAATCCCCAGTTCCAATCGTAAGAAGCACAGCTCCCAGCCATTCGGTCGATACGGGAAGCCAAAATCTAGTCATGGCAAGAAGCCCAACTTGTCTCATGGCAAATCCCGGCATCGCGGACAGCCAATGCAAGCTCTCCAAGCCACTCACGTCACATTGCTTCGCCCCCCCTGGTTTCCAGCAAAGTGACAAATCATCACCGTTTTGTTTGTCACTCACCTGCTTTGCAAATGTTGAGATAGGGCTGTTGTTGGGTATCTTGTAAAATTGCTTAGAACGCTTGATTGATTGGCATTTCACCCAAACTGCGCTACGCAAACATGTATCGCAAAGAAAGCATATCTTTCAAAACTACTCAGGAAAAAAACAAAAACTCCCAACGCTTTCTCTTGTCTGTTAGACTCCTTTGTCTCTTGATTCCAAAAGCACAAATGTCCAAATCAAAGCAGTAGAAGCCCGTACCATAATTCACCATAAACAGGAAGCGAGAGAGCCTATCCCTTGCCAAAATGCCCGACGCCTATCCAACCAACTATCCATTGTTTTTTACATTTTCCCTTTAAACGCGCCTCTGCTCCGTGTGTAGCTTGTACACCAATGCCGCCGCCCCAGTCTTTGTTGTAGTAAAAATAAAAGTTGTATCAGGGTGAATGAACCCGCGCCAGACATGATTAAAAAAGAAGATAAAATGGTGAGAGTCGGGGGCATGTCTTTTGCCCGCTGCTTAAACCCTTGGCCTGTAACCAACAGAGCGTCCAACAATAACGCAGGGTCGTATAACTGCAGCTCCTTTCTGTCTGTTTTTTTTTTCTCTCTCTGTGATTTATGCAGTCTCGGCCATATCGCCAAACGCCAATGCTCTGTTGTGTGTACAAGAATAAATGATGGAATACAAAAAGATATGAATAAGTCCTCGCCATGTAAAGACTGGTCAAATCAGTAAATTGCAAAAAGCGAGCGTGCCTACTTTAGGCGTCCGCCATGTCTTTGACCGAATAGACGCCGGTTGAGTTGAAAAGCCGTGACCACCGCGCCAACGCTTTCGCCAGAATAGAAGTGATAATAAAAGTAGAACGAATGGATAATAAAAGAAGTTATCCAGTTGCCAATTCCGAGGGGTATTTTGTTGCCTTCGCCACATGAAATCATTAAAAGTGTTTTTTGTTCCTTTTCGTCTAATCATGTTTCGTCGTCCATGTGATTTCGCTCTGCTTGCCAAGAGGGAAGAGATATTAAGCGATAGGTGTGGCATCAGGGGAGGGCGTAGAAAGTGGGAATCCCTGTGCACGAAGTGCCATCGCTGCAGGCAGAGCATTGTGTCGTATAACATTTAGTCGTAACCTTCTTTTTTTTTCCGTTTAGAGACCTTCTTCGCCGGCCTTGCAAAGTTTAATCTCACGAACCCACTCAGACTTGAGAACCTGAGCGGCTGTAAGACGACGGGTGGGATGGGGATCCAAAACGGAGTAGATGACATTTCGACAACGAGCCTGTGGAATACATTAATACGAAATTCTAGGGCGGAGGGGCAGGAAAAAGGAAAAAGGCAGGAAAAAGGAAAAAGGCAGCAACTGTCACTTACCCTATGTAAGGACTCGATGGGGCCATAGCCCTCTTCGTCGCGGCGACCCTCCAGGTAGCGAGCGTAAAACTCGTCTTCGTCCTTCTTAGCGAGGCGCCAGAGGTGTCTTCCGGTGCGCATGGCCATGTAAATAACACCGCAAGCCCACACATCGACAGCACGGGCATCGAATTCCTTGTCGGTGTACTCTTCGGGGGCGATGTAAGGAGCAGATCCGCACAGTCCAGAGACCATGTGGGCATCCGCCTCCCATGCCATGCGGAAACACTCGCCGTTGCCAAAATCAGTGATTTTCAGGCCGCCACGGGTAGTGAGGAGCAGGTTCTCGGGCTTGAGATCTCGGTGGGCGACTCCCATCTCGTGAAGGTACTCGACGCCGCGCATCATTTGCTTGAAGAAGCAGTCTGCTTCTTGGACCTCGAGTTTGCCGCTGGACAGGATAAGCGTGTACAGGTCACCGCCAGAGCAAAACTCCATGACTTCGCAGTAATCGCCCTTGGCATCCTTAAGCAGGTCGAGAGTGTGAATAACGTTGGGGTGGCGCAAGGAGGAAGAGATGCAGAATTCGGCGGTAAGGCGCTTGCTGTACTTCTTCTCCGACTCGTCAGGGCGGCGGCGGAACTCCTTGACGGCGAACAGCTTCTCGCCGCTGCTGCCAACCTTTTTGTGGGATATCCTGACGATGCCAAAGGCGCCGCGGCCGACGACTTCTTGGCACTTGCCGTACTTTTCCACCAAAGTCGAGTTGGCGTGGAGGCCGGCCTTTTTGTCGGCAGCTTCTTCCTTCTCCTGGCGCAGCGAGTCGACCCAGTTGGACACCAGGGAGAGGTCGTGTTGGGGTGGAGCTTCTTGCTTCTTTCCGATGATACTTCGCCACATGTCTGACAGCTTCTCCTGTCTTCGGCTGGATCGCAGGAGATGCTCGTGTCCGCCCGGGACATCGGGCATCACAGTGAAGCGGTTTGAGTCCTTGGGCTTGACTGATTCTTTGGCTTTGGTGGCTTCTTTGGGTTTTGCGGCGGGGAGCTTCTCGGAGGGCTTTTCTATTGATTCTTTTGGCGGGGCGGGAGAAGAAGCGCCGCTAATTGACGGGCCGCGAGATCGAGGTGTGACATCGCCATTGACGTGGACCTTTGTGACGTCCTTTGTTGAAAACATGCGAGAAAGGCGATCCTTGACCGAGGACTTCTCAGAGGGAGGCTTCAGCTGGGTCTCGCTTGGGGAAGGAGAGAGCTTCTCAGACCCATTCTGGGAGAGCAGAGTAGGCGATCTCTTTCCCTCGTGCGACGACTTGATGGACGAGGGTTTTGAGCTTTGAGCAGAGCTCGGTTTTGACTCGAGGGCGGCGGACGGCATCTTGATGATGGCGAGCGCCTAGTCGTTAAATAGGTAGTCGAAGTCGAAAGATGTGAGGTGTTGTGTTTTCGAAAATGCCAAGCAGGCGTCTGCTGAAAGGCGAGCACAGAGGCCAACTAAGGTTGCCTGATCCGGTGGCGAGGCCGGGATGCTGCACGGAGCCCAGCGGTGTATGGAGGGGATTGCGTCGGCGGCGGAAGCTGATTCCGGAGCTGATCAAGAGGGCAGCCTGCAGTGAGGACGGCGATCCTGTGCGGCGGGAGCTGGATGCGAGGCGGCGGGAGCAGCAAATAAATATAGTTGCAGAAAAAAATAAAAATAAAAAATAAAAAAGGTATAAAAGGTATAAAAGGTGAATGAATAAAAAGATTAACTCAGCAACGCCGCAGTCGGATGTTGCCTTTTTGTTCTGATTCCAGGAAAGCAAGTCAAATGGCAATTAAAAGCAGGTCGTAGCCAGGCCAGGCGGCGCTTGTAGGGGGAGTCGAGGAGGGGCGTTTGCAGCGTCAGATCGAGGCTGGGCGCAGGACAACGCACGGGCGACAGAAGCAGACGTAATTGCGCCTGGGGGGGTGATGCTTGTATAGAAGAGGATTGGAAGAGAGAAGAGGAACCGCCTGGAAGCGCGGACGGGCGGCAGAGGCCCAGCAGGGAGGATGAAGGTCGTAGGGCCTGCAAAACGGGGCGATCTCCGGTGCGCAGCCCTTATATGTGGTTTTTGTGCTGCGTATGATGGGATGTTGCGTGGTCCTGGCAAATATCCGGGGGTGGAGGCAGGTTTTTGGGCGCTGCCGCCAAAGCAGAAAATTGGAATTTTTTGTTTAAAAAAAAAGTGCCGTCAGAGCAGGGCCGGGCTGAGCGTCCCAGTAAAAGCGGTGGTGGCAGTGGTGGTGTGCACAGTGGTCTAAGTGTAAGTGCCAGAGGGGTGGAGCTTGGGTATAAGCTAGATGGACACACAAACACAACAACACACGCACACACGCCCAATGGAGGAGACGAGAGGCCAGGCAAAGCAAATAGAGAGACCCTCTCGCAGCTTTTGGCTGTGGTCGTGACGTTGGGAGGGCGGGGGTGGGCGTTGAGGCAATTCAGAAGTGACGGCGGAAGCAGAGGAAGAAGAAGAGGTGGTAATAAGCCCGTCAGCTCGAGCAGAAAAGCAAAAAGGGACAGAGGCAAAAGGGGGCAGGGGAGGAGGCAAAGAGGGAATAAATGGCCAGGGAAGAGGACAGGAAAAAGCAGGATATGATTGCTGCCATATTAGTGAGGGAAAAGCCAAAAAACACAGGCAAAAAAAAGTACTGTACCTTGGAAGGGCCCAGCGGTGGGGGATCCGTATGACAGTACAGACACAGCAGGTACCAGACGGCAAAGTCTGCAATGGGGACGGTCGCGGTAGCGCGAGTACAGGTACCGGTACGGGCCTGGCGCCGGAGCTTTACGGAGCGCAAGGGGCGCTGCTGCGCGCCTGTAGCGGTACCCAGCGCGGTATCCAGCGGCAGGCCGGTGTGGTGTCTGTCATGTGTGCCTGTGCGGGCAGGTAGCTGTACATGGCGGGCACATGGGCGAGTCCGAGTACAGGAACCTGGGAGCAGGCCAGGCAAGTTCCGGTATGGAGGGTGCTTCTAGGACCGCCGCTGTAGGGGCCTGTGGTTGGTGCTGGAAACTGCGCTGCGGCAAATGAAGGCGCCGGGGACTGGCTCCAGCGGGTGACAAAGCACGACAGAGCCTTGAATAGCCTGGGAGCTGGAGAATTGAATGAAAAATTTCTGGGTGGGCACGCTGAGACGTTTACGTTTGCTGCTAACGCTTGCTGCTAGCCGTGCGAGTTAATGGTCCTGCCGGTACCTTTTGCGGCGGCGCAATGCTCCATATTACCAGGTCAATACAATCATTGATCCGGAATGGCTGCCCGCGGGATGCGACTGAGGCCAATTGACCTGAAGCCTTCTATGTAATTGGCAGCGTCAGCCCGTCCAGCTGAGCGTGCTGTGGCGGACAATACCAGAAGCTGGGGCAACTCCTGCGGCTCCAGCGGCCTGCAGCAGCGACATGCCGACATGCTGCAGCGGTGCGTGCTGTTAGCAGCAACTCCTGTGCAAGTCGTGCATCCCGCCGTTCTGCTCGTATACCACAGGCTGTAAAGAGGAATAGTCTGGTGGTCCAGAGCTAGTCCAAAATACGTGGACAGGCTGTCATGTACGAAACGAGCAGCTTGTGGCGCGCGCGCCAAAAACCACTCCAAAGGGACAAACGATGGATTTTTAAAGAGAGAAAAAAAATTTCCCCTCCTCCACTGCGGGACTAATCCTTTCTCCTCTCCGCTCCGCAAAGCTAAACGGAAAGAAGCTATTTATTCGCACAAGATGAAAAAGAAGAAAAAAAAGAAGTACGTGTAGTTTCGGCTGGCAGCCGGGGAAAGAGAGGAAGGAGCCAACTCTGCCTGCATGGCATGAGCAGCCGGTCGAGGTGAAGCGGTTATGTGTGTGTGCGAGAGGGGGGGAGGAGCGCTCGTACATATTTCGTGCATGTCACTGCCAGATTCGTTGGTGCTGCAGCAGAGCAGAAGTGGCAGCATCAAGATGTACAGCGCAGCAGCACATCATGCTGTCTACAGTGAGCCATATACTTGCTATCCTATGCTTCTGCCTCCTCAACTTGTCTTCTTCTCCTCGCCTCTCTCGCCTGTTCTCTTATTTACTCCATTGCGCCAGAGGGTGTTGACCACTCACTCATGAAGAGACGGTGTGGGCGTGTGAAACAACCTAAAGGGAAGCCCAGAAGAAATATACCGAGGCGCGCTAAAGCATTGAATCCTGAGGTTGCAAGAAAGAAACAAAAAAGAAAAAAAAAGAAAATAAGAAAAATCGAGTCCTCTGGTCTTGCCCTTTTCGGCGGCCTTGGCGGCGCTGGCTGGCTGGCGGCCGCTAAGCTGCTGCCAGGGTGCAGGGCCACGGGGCGTGCTACGTGGGTACTTGCGCTGCTCTGTCCCAATTGGCAGCGCCGCAATTACAGGCTGGACATGTGCCCGGCGGTGGTGCTACCAGAGCTAAGGCACGCTTGCATGCGCGCGTGCATGGGCATCGATGCTATTGTGTAGTGCGAGCGCTACCTGTCGATACTGTATAGTGGCCTTGATGCCGCTGCCACCTACACCGTATTGTGGCACCAGATGCCAAGGTATTACGACACGGTCTGGTCCTACTGACTATTCCTTACTAATTGGCAGCGCGTCGTCTCACCTCACCACCATCCCGCTTACATACGCTCACCTACGCTGATGCTGATGCCAGTCCAGGCTCGCTGGATCCGGCGGTGGAATCAAATCGCTCAGCGGCGGCGCCGGTGGAGTGTGAGACACGGCTTGGAGCTGCAAATGAAGCGTCAGGCAAGGGAAGTGCTGTAGGGGATGCGATGCGTAAAGCATTGAGGCACAATGAGACGATGGTTACAGTAATAGGTCCAGATACCTTGTAGGTAGTAGTTCAGAGACCCGGTTCATGTGCTTTCCAGCATCTCTCCAGGTGCAAGTACATGTACCATGCACAGCTCTGAACCCTTTTTGCCAAGCAGGCACAAAGGGGGTGCTACCCTACATGTGTGAAATTAGATCGATCTAGATGTTTAATTGCCTAGTACCTGATGGGTTGAAGATGAATTCGGGGTTTTTCATCCTTTGCTCTCTTCTTCTCATTATTGCCGTATCTTTGAGATTGTCTTGTCTAATCAATTGCCCCTTGCATTTCGACCTCAGATCATTATCGCGACATGCCCGCTGCAGAACACAGCGAGTACCTTACCTAGGGCCTCGGGCCATTTCGTCCTTCTCCATATTACCTGGTAAAGTACCGGTACCAAGTCAGCCCTGAGAATGGGTCCCTCATCAACCCACCTTGCATACGCTGAGATGCTCATACGATTCATTTATAATGGTTACCAAGGAAAAAAAAGAAGAACAGACATGGTGCTTGTACAACATGCCTCACAGCCGCAATCCCAAAATGCCAAGGACCCTCGGAATGCTGATGATTAAACGACATGGCCATGTCCAAACCCACAGGCAGCACTTGACTGCTCCTTGGCGCGCCAGCCGTGTGGCATTCGGTGCTCACAGCCCGAGACGCTGCCTGCATACCGCCCCTTTATCCAATACGCGGGAGTCGAGTAGCTAAAAAGGCTGTGCTGTGTTTCGGGTGAAATGGCAGTTGGGAGCTACAGTATGCCGGTCGAAATTCCCAGGTTCCGATAGGCATAGGCCAACCACAGGGCATCTATCAATCTCACAGCCCTATGCGCACACACGCACACATACGCACATACATATCCCGCCGCGTGAGACGCAGCTGCTACCAACTCCATAATGCTACTTTCATAGATGCATTGAAAGTCAAAAGGACCATTCCTCCCCCTAACCACCCTCCGTACATGTCAAAGAACGAAAAAAGCACAGGCGGTCAATGACTCTTTCGGCGTCGGAACCGCTCCTCAACCAATACGACCAAACTCCCGTGTCTAGCTCTGCACAGCCATCTTGTACGTAATTGCCATTCTCCATCGAAGCCAAGAAAGGCCAAGAAGAGACAGCTCTTACACGGCCCGTAGATTTGCTAACGGGAAACGATTTGAATTAATTTTTTTTTCTTGTATCCTCTCTTTTTGGGCGTGCGCCGAGATTGCCAAGACGGCAGTCGGAAAACTACACTGCCAAGACCACGGGAGCGTGGCAGTGTTTATTTTAGACTTTAACTTCAATTTACAGTTAAATTTGTTTCTGGCTCGTAGAGAAACGTTGGTTTGAAACAAAAAAAGATTTCATGCTATTTTTGCTTTCAACCTCTGGTCTTGTATGTAGCAGCACTAGTGAATAAATTGATGAGTCTTAACCAGGTGGCTTAGATTTTTGAGACAGCGATCGAGGGCTCTTGTCTCAGCCTCATTTTGGCTGCTGCCCCCCAAGATGAATGTTATCACAAAAACAACTGCGGCACGGCAAAGTAACGTGGATGTACATGTACGAGCACCTACTACTACAATCTTTCAAACGTCGCACGTACCGGTTCCAGGCCCGTGGACCCCTTCAGGCGCCATCGTCATGGAACGCCATCCCACGCACATCCATACATGCACGCATACCTTACTTTGTTCGCCTGCCTGCATTGCCTAGCCTAGCTTTGAACGAAAATTATGGCCAGGAAAAGGACACCCAAGCCATCAATCCCCCCCGCAAAGCTTTCTGCCTGCATGTGCTCGTACGACCCAACTTGCAGCCAAAAGGGACCTTCAAAATGGACCTCTGACCAGACACATGCACCCAGACCATTCCAATGGAGCTTTGCTGCTTTTTCCCTCTGTCGGCCCTTTGGCTCCATCGATCGCTCATAGTTTGCTGCACCCCGACATGGAGGAGACGAGCCAAAGGGGCCAATGACAAGCCGCTGGGATGACTCTGGCGGTTTTATCTATAACCCGCGTGCTAATAATCGCCGTAAGCAGATCCGCCGATGTGCGTTTTCTCTGGTTTAGCCAGTTGTTGGTAGCAATAAGTACTCCATACCAGCAGCAGTGCTCCTCCATATACCGCGGCGAGTTACTATCAACCGGGATCATTGAAGCATCAATTCATCTCGAGCCGAAGCGGCATATATTAAAATGTCCCACCCTCAACTTTCTCGGAACACATACGCGCTCATCTATTCCCCAAATTAACTGCATGCATACTTTTTTTCCCATCAAACACAATAAAACAAACTGCATGCATGCAGCTCTCCGTATCTAGCATACATGAAATGCTCTTGGCACCCAATCCCGGCTATACGCGATTCAACCTATTAAAGAGATAGGTCCCTTGATCAGCCATCACATACGTAGTCAGTCGCATGCGCCTTGCAGCCAACGTAAATCTCATCCCCCCTCACTTTACAGCCCAAAAACTCTCCTCTTCACACTTACTCGTGGTCTTATTTACCAACCCAAAGTCTAACACGCTCTCCCTCTCACCTCGATTCTTACTCGCATGAGCCCATGCCTGTTTTTTTTTTTTTTTTTACCCCTCCCCTGTATACTGCACTCCCCTTTCCATTGACTCTCTCTGTTTAATGGGCTTGTTACATGCAGGATGCAGGATTTCCCCTCTCGCCTGCGTCGTCGTTGAATATACCCAGTAGGTAGATACGCCATATACCGTCGATACCTTGCACTGGGCTTCTACAATTGGAAAGGAACACAAAATAAAATACCCGACCGCACCCATTTGATAGGTCAGCTTATACAAAGTATCAACACTGCCATGTACATACGTACAGTACAGTACAGCACTAATCAAAGGCCATGCAGCAGCAGCATGTAAGTCCGCAGCAGAGCAAGCAGCAAAAAAAAGGGACGCTATTCCTGCACCTAAACTCTTTCTCCGCTACCCCCTCCTCAACTGCGTCCCTCAGGCGGCCTCCAACGCCTCCATACTGTAAGAAGCAAAAAGGGACAAATAACATCCATACATGCAACTTGGCGGACAGAGCAAAAGACCCGACAAGACGATTTGTAAGTTCAATCTCTCTTTGCCCCCCTCTCCGCCCCTCCCTTTTTTTCCTCAGATATCACGACTAGTTTCTTCAATGAAGTCATCGCTGCTCCGTCTTTACACGTATTTCTCTGCATCTCTCCCTTTTGTCCTGCTTCATTCCCACCACATGCTCCCCGAGCTTGCGCCAGATGCCGAGGGCCAAGCCCAATGCCAAGACTCTAAGCATACATGGGAATTAAACATTTCTAGTGGCCGTCTACCGTCTCGTCGAGAATGATATTGATACCCAGCAGTGTATATCTTGTACTACTGCTTTCTATCACTAAAACTGGCCCATCACGCCCCTCACCCAAAAAGCCAGTTGCCAGAAACGTCCCCCCATATGATCTCATAGGGCCAAATAGAAAACCGCCCGGCTCAACCATCTCCCCAGCTTATGGCACAGCCTGCCACGCCGCCTTTTGGCCACTCCACAGTAGAAGAAAATGATTTGACAAGTAAAACCAAAAAAAGCAGACTATTCTGATTCTAGTTATTCCTTCTGAAATCTGTTTCAAGTAAGAGCTTAGCATTTCCTGCTCTCTTCTCGCCGCTTCCCTCTCTCTACTACTCTCTCAGAAATCGCCAGGGGAGCAGGCCGCCACTCACTCTGTTACTGCTGGAAACTGCGGATCTAAGCGGCTGAAATGAGTCGATGCTGAGCTGTCAGCTCCTCCATTGCCGATCTGCGTGTTTTTCCTTCCCGGGCGGCTGCTGCCCGTTTTTTTTTTCATGCCCTCTCCTGATGTCACAGACCTAGTATGTACTTGTGTAAAGTACATGTAAGCAAACAGGAAAAAAAGGGACCATGGAAGAAAACGACAGATTCAAGCAGCAAAAGAGATAATTGCCATGATGTCTTTCGCCCCCCCTTCATGCCTCATCCCTCCCTCTTCTGATCCCGCATTCCCGCTTCCCCGATACAACCTTCATCACAAGTCACAGCGTTTTTGCTTTCTTTGTCGTGCCCGGCTGTTGAGGCTCGTGCCATGCCTCTCGCTTTTCAGTGGCTCTTCAGTGGCTCTTCCGTCATTGCCTGCAGCTTGTGCTCGGATAACACAGAACCAAAAGGTCCCCCCGGGAAACTCTTTCCTGTTGGGAATTGCAAGCATGGGAGGGGTCCTGACGCAAGTATAGGCGCCATGGGATCACTGTCCATCCCACCATATATGGGTAAGTAGTAGTAGGTAGTAGCTTGAAAAAGCCCCCCGGCATGTAAACCTAGACCCCGATTTCTGGCTCTGATAGCCGGTACGGCGCGTGTGTAGCCATCGGCTATCGAGACTTGCAGCGCCGTCTCAAAAGCTACATTGCGATTCGATCACCAATGCGCCCGTCGCTCCTTATCCCTTGGTTCTAGACTCTGCCAGACTTCAGCCTGTGCATCTCGGGCATACTCTCAGCATCTAGCACGGAGCAGAACCATCCATTTTCGTACGTCTGCCACATGGCCTGAGCCATCTATCCCCTTCCCCGATGCTCAGCTCGTCCAGCCCGGGCAGGGAACGCGGATATGTATCAGGGGTCAGCGTGGGTGATAACGCGCCTTGAAAGCCTTGTAGCCAGCATCTCGGCTGTTCGTATGCATCTCATATCACGCCGTGAGACATTTTCTTCTAGATAGAGCAGCTCCCTGGCATATAATGCCTACCCGAGCCTCAGGGATTGATTGGTGTTGTACGGAGTAATACCTGCTTGCAGTTCCCATGGCTGGGGTTTGTTTCCCAGCATTCCATGCTCATGCTCATGCTGCGCGTGCGTGGTGCTTCCCTAAATCGATTGCCTAAATCTCCTTCGGTACATGTGCGTCGTACCGACTGACATGGGTCAAGCCTCATTCGTCGGCCCTTTCATTGTCCATTACTTTAACGCTATCGCCCGTAATTGTCACTGCCGTTGTACTGTAGTAACGGTCTCACCGACCGTATCAGACATTTCCAACGTGGTAACCCCCCCTACGTCTTTAGCTCAAAAATATTAATTGCTACCTCCTTGGTATGCAAGTTTGAAGCGGTGAGCACACTTTCACTATTGGCAGCGGAGATTGCTTTCTCCACAGAATTAACGGAATTGATAAACTCAGCGATAATCTCATCTCATCATACATCATGATAATGCATCTTGGGTAGCGTAGAAGCATGGCAGCATACTGTCTGATTGGAGGCAGCTGCACACGAGTCTGTTTCCTGGCTTTCTGTTGGACGCCCTTAATCGTCGCCTCATGGATAAATCATGTATATTCGTTGTACTTTTATTGAAAAGGAGGTCACCCATCAGGAGAGGGGTTGGCAATGCTCGAGTCTGGTATCTCGTAATTCCGAATTATTTTCTTGGAATATATTCATGTAGATGTCCACAATTAGATTACCTGGCCGAACAATGCCGAAGAGGGATACGCCATGTCAGGACGCTGATGAGACAACCGCTGATCTAATTTTGGCCTTTTGTCTTGTTGCTATTCTCGGACGCTTCTCTGACTCTGGACACGAGATCGGCTAATTTATTGCCTGGACGTAAAGGTAAAGGGTCTAGAAGTCGTTTGGAATTCTCCAAGGCAGCCTTGAAGGGAGGCAGTGAGACCGAAGCTTCGTCGACCATGTTCTCCAGCTTTTTGAAGTACTCTTTCTCTTTGATATGTTTCGTCAAGTACATGACAGGGTTGCTTGACTGATTCTGTTTCATTCGCTCCTTTACGGCCTCTTCATAGGCCCGGTCGTATACGTTGAAGTCGACTGCCGTAGGAGAGTCGGACACAACATCGGGTGTCTTCTCATCGGTAGTGAAGGCATCTCTCGCTCCAGTGCCGATGCCTAGGAATAGCGGCTCTTGGTCGCTAATATCGTGAGCGTGGCCCTTTGTCTTTTCTTCTTCGGGCTCTGGCGCAAGTAAGATTGTCTTTTGGTGTGCGATGAGTGACGCTATATCTTCTACTGATGCGCTGGCATCTAATAATTTGGGTGACTCGTTTTCTTGTGTGGCTTCTTGTGATTGACTCGCAGCTTTTTTGCGGCTGCGAGCCAATGAGCACCGAAATCGATGGATTGCCTTCATCACACAAAGAAGGTGGTTCATCTTCCTCGTAAAAGCTCGGCTGAGCTCTAGCTCATTCGGTGGTTCTATGGGGTCTGAACAGTTTTCTTCTGCCGATAGTAAGGGGTCAGTTCCTTCTTTGGTTACCCAAGGATGTTCCTGTAGTATTACATTAGCATGCTGAACGTATTTGTCTTGGTCAAAGTTGGCCGATACATACACGAAGCTCAGCCATGGTGATTCGGGTTTCCGGGTTCTTGTCTAGCAATCTGCTCATCAAATGAATAAATGTCGGATTCTCATCTTTCGCATACTCTGGCTCCTCCGTCTTGATAGCCTCATAAATCTCAAGTATGGCCTCCTTGTTAAATGGTATCTTTCCGTATTTAAGGCAGTACAGGGTGATGCCCATCGACCAGATGTCTGCAGCCGTTCCAGAAACTTCGTTATGCTTGCTGCACAGTTCGGGGGGTAGAAAGGCCGGAGAACCAGCGGATTTGGACGTCCTCATATTGTTCCCCTTTGAAAACATTTCTGAGACGCCAAAGTCTACAACTTTTAAAACATCATCTTCGGATAATAGGAGGTTGTCTGGCTTGATATCGCGATGAATGACTCCTTGAGCATGTACTACCATCATGTTAGAGAGAGCTACGCGGTCACTATGCAATCTCTTTTTGACTTACAGTATTCAATTCCCAAGATCAAATCTCGGAACCAGAACCTGCACTCCTCTTCAGGATAGGGATCTGCTTGCTCGCCCAGGCCGACTTTCATGATGACCCCTTTTTTGCACATCTCCATTACTATGTACAGGGAATCTTCATCTGGATCATCGAGCACCTCGATAAGTTGAGCCAAGTTGGGGTGATTGAGTTTCTTCATGATGGCAATCTCTTCTCGGATGTAGAATAAAGCATCGCTCCTCTCACGGTCTCGCAGCCCATTAAGATGAGGAGACATGGCGCCTCCTCTACCAGGCATACGTCTTTGCGGCCCCCCAGGACCTTGGCGCATGGCGATGGACTGTGCGCGCCTTCGTAGGCGAACCTTGGAGAATTCTTTGACAGCCTGTAGATCTCGCCGTAAGTGAATGCTCTGAGAAAGAGGGCAAAGGCAGACACCTTGATGAAGGTAGCATACAAACTCATTGCCGAATTGATCTGTCGCGAGATGGACAGCGCCGTAGGACCCGCGACCGATTTCATCTTGAATCACAAACTGGTTTATTCTGTGGTGAGTTCGACCATCCGTCTCATCATTGGAGAACTCGACGTGGGCGTCCAAAGTTTCCTGCTGCGAGTTAGCTCATACTTAGTCTGGGTGTAGGCTTAAGGCTGAGAAAAGCTGACCTTGATTTCGCGATGAGCGCTTGGAGTCCGTTTATGCTGTCTGATCGGGCTTGCGAAGCCTGTCAGACGAGCAGGCTCAGAGCTGAATTACAAAAAGATTGATCAGCGCCTGGTTTGACAAACGAGGCTGGGTCTCATCTTTCTCTTCTGTTCTTCAAAGAGCAGATTCCAGCACTATTACTTACACAGCAGACGCCAAGGATGGCCGAATATCGTCGGTGATATCGTCGCGACCGTTGACAGTGAGCCTAGGTGATTGGAGGCCAGGGAGAGGATCTGTTTTCGCGCCTCTAGGTGATTGGGGAGGCGTCTCCATGATGGCAGAAGACACAGCTCTCGGCGAAAGCTCGAGAAGAAGAGCAGCGATGAGAATCTGTGTCGCGTGCTGGGACGAGATATCTATACGATACTTTCAGAGGGTACCAGGCGAAATTGAACTTCAGGCAAGGTGGATGAAGGAGCTGACAGCGTGTCTAGCTTTCCAAGTCGAAGCTGCACAAGCAGAAATTCGCCAGGGCTGCGAAATGAGACGTGAGGCTGAAATCAGGACGAGCGCTCTGGGCCAACCAATGGAGGGGTTATAAGCGATAGCTGCATTGGCATCTTGCGATAAAGCGGGGCACTGGAGCTGGACGACGGCGTTTCTGACAGGCGGGCGTCTAAACGCCTGCACTTTAACTGGCACATGCTGATTGATGCATGCCTCGACCGCTATGGCCATGGCCATAAATAGTACCATATTCGCTATAGAATGCCAAAGATTCAGAGTCTGGTCTTATTGATCAAGGTAGTGGTTACTATTTACAGATTCTGCATGCTCCTTTTACGCCGGGCTATAAATGCATTTACTGGATATACCTACTAGTAGGTATCAATTCTTTAGGTCCGGTGTCAGCGTATCCTGAGCTCCGTCAAAGGACCCAGCTGTGGTGTTTTGTAACTTACTACAACCGCCTACGATTCTATTACAAAGTATGAACGCATCCCATCATTTGTTCATCACTACATACTCAAACCGTTTCAGCCGTTTCTGGTGAAGGACCACGTGCAAGCACAAGCAGACAGAAGGCTAGGTACAGTAATATGAATGAAGGCTGAAGCTCCTCTGCCCACTATTGGCAGCACTTTATAGTGGGCTCCTACAGGCCTTTATGCCCCGCCAACCCGCGGCGGGGGCGCCTGCTAGCTCCAGGTCAGCCTGTGGCTGGATTAGATAACCGAGGCGCCCCTTGATCGACAAAAACACATCTCGCAACTAACTGTATGTACCTGACGGAGCTTGCCTGTTTTGCGACGACGACAGCATCTTCTTTGCAAGCCACCCCTCATTGATCTTGTCGCGTGCAGCGTTTTGAAACCATCACTCATACCAACCAGAACCCGTGCCTGCCCGCGCGCGCAATCCATTCACAATGGCCGTCTACACGTTCTACATCTTCGACCGCCACAGTAGGTCACTCCCCTTCACAAGCTAGCTTACATCTCCTCTCCTCTCCTCTCCTCTCCGTGGTATATTCAAATTGCCCAATCTGATCTGCTTCCCTCTCAGCCGAGTGTGTCTACGTCAAATCATGGGCACCGCCCGACCAAGAAGCCCCCGCGCCCGCCATCTCCACCAGCTCAGACGACGCCAAGCTCGTCTTCGGAACCGTCTTCTCCCTCCGCAACATGGCCCGCAAGCTCGGCGGCGACGACGACGCCTTCATCAGCTACCGGACGGGCCAGTACAAGCTGCACTTTTACGAGACGCCCGCGAACCTGCGCTTTGTCATGATTACGGATACCGCGTCGGCGAGCATGCGGAATGTGCTGCATCAGATCTATATCAACCTATGGGTGGAATATGGTATATGACTTCCAGAAGAGTTGAAGCTGGGTACTTACGGAGTGGCTAATATGATGAGTGAGTAGTCGTCAAAAATCCGCTTGCACCAGTCGAACACAAGGGAGGCGCCGGTATCAGAAACGAACTCTTCGAGCGGGGTTTGGACCAGTTCATACGGGGCATGATGTGAACTTACTAAAAGCACTTTCATGATTTCACGAGTTCGAAATGAGATATATATTAAGGGCGGATGGAAACAAGGTATTACCGGCACCAACAGCAACGACGTCTGCCTGACGCTCATGAACGCTTTCACAACCCCAATTTATCACACAGCCGTCTCTCGGTCAAGGAGTCTACGGATTCTGGCTACTTGGAGTGTAACAGAGCTGCACGAAACAAGCCAAGCAAGACGACGAGGCAGTTGCGGGGATGAGCCACCCAGAAACCCCCGCTGGCAGCTCGGATATTGGCCATACGAGTTGTGAATGTGATTAAAAGATCTGTATTGTGGCCATGGGGATCTTTGAGACAAGTTTACATAAGAGGCATCGTTTAGAGAAGATCAAGCGCTGAAATGAACCTCTGAGCGCCGAGGAGAGTATAGGATATATCGTTATAAGCTGTCTGCTGTCTGCTGTCTGCTAGTCCGCCAACATCATAGTAGTATCCCAAATAGAGGGAAATAAAGAAAAAAAAAAAAAAGAAAAGAAAAGAAAAGCCATTAAATCTTTATACCAGTCCGTCCTGCCCTTCCAAAAGTGAAACAAACCTGTAGAATGCACCAGATCTTTACTCTTTACTATACATATATGCATATTGAGGATACATGCTTCTTCCGCTTCAAGACTTCTTCTCTCCCACCGTCGCCCTCTCCCATGCGCCCTCCAAGCTAGTAGTAGCTTGGGGCTCAACAATGATGACACTGCTATCAACCTGAGTTGACTGAGACTGGGTGTCTTCAGACTTGACGTAGACGGCACTCTCCATGAGTCCCTCGTCCTTCATTTCATTCTCCCAGTTGCTAGAGTATACGACGGCAGAGAAAGCCTCGAGATCGCGTACTGTCTCCATCTCCTGGAGGTACTCATTGGGCGTATTGCCGTTACCGATGACATGAGCCTGTCGTGTTAGGACAGACAAAATCTTGGGCAATAGGATAGCTCTGGTGCGCTTGAGGCTGGTTGTCGTTGCCACCGTAGTAGGAGCTTCGTCCAGGGAGAACTCGAAAGCCTCAGTGGCCAGCTTCTTGTCCACCAGCAGTGAGAAGCCCGAGTTGAGAACTAGTGTCAAGACGTGCGAAAAGGCTGGCGATTCGATTAAATCAGCAGTCTCGTCGAGCAAGCGTCTCAGAGCAGCAGGAGATGGCTGGGCACCATCCTCAGGAGATAGGCCTGCATCATCCAAGACGCCAGACTGGCGGAGAACCTCATCCTCTTTGTCTTTGGGAGGCAGGAGGAAAGACAGCCAATCTGAGCCCTTATTGTTGTTTGAGCTGGACCCTTCAATCAGCTTTCTGACCTCTGCGGTCAGCTGGGAAACCCGATCAAAGGTAACCAGATCTCGAGGGCTGAGACTGCCAAATACGGTCCGCACAGAGCTCTCTACGCGGTGCATGACGTCTACCCAACCCTTGTTCAGCAACCACCAGCTGAAGGTCAGGTACTTGCGATTTGTGTCGAAATCGCTGCCATGCGGATTGGGGCTGTCGTCGTCATTGTTCTCAAGGCTGATGGTGGCCTGCTGGCTGCCAGTGGCGAGAGCAACAACGCTAGATAAGTAACTGCGTCGGCCGAGAAGGTTCAGTTGAACTCTTGTCAGCATGGTGAGGAGGGCGAGTGTGTAGATGAGGGTGAATGATCTCGTAATGGCTGCATTTCCAAAACACTGTTAGTTTCCTCTTTCATCCTTTACTCACATATGGATGGATCATAGATTAAGGAGGCAGCGTACCGCTAATGGTCAAGTCATCCCAGAGTTGCCTCTTGGTCTTTCGCGGCCTAGGGGGGGCCAGCTCTTGCGAGGTGCCATCTGAAGTAAAGGGCATTCCGACATCTACCGGCACGCTGATGGTGCTTTTGCTATCATCCTCAGTGAGAGTAGTATCGGCAATGCTGGGCGGGCTTGTTGTCTGGATGCCCTTGAGGCTCCTGGCCGAGCTCTTGATCTGCTGGATCTCGTACGTAATCTGCTCCGTATTCAAGGCCGAAATCACATTGCCCGTGGCGGTGGGCAGGAGAGCCAGGACGGTATAAGTACAGTCTTCCTGGTTCTGCTCGAATCGACGGCGAAGGCTAGAGATTTGATAATGCCGCGTTAGCCACGCAGAGCCAGGCAATTTGTCCTGCTGCACCAGCAAGGCCGACTTACTTTTCCTTGGCGATGCGATCGCTGCTCATCCGCTCGCGCGCATCGTTGATCTTGGCCATCACGTACTGCGTCACGGCATAGCCAGCGCCAAGGACACCAACGCCGATGGCAATTGGTGTCCGGTTGCGACGCACCCAGCGCTGAGCTGAAGAGAGCATGTTGGGCAGCGCTGCACAGGTCGGGTCGTGTTAGGAGGTCATGGATTGGCAGTGCAAGCACATGTGTTCAGTCGAAGGCCGGGCAGAGAGAGAGGAGAGGGCAGAAGCCAGGCTCTTGGAGGCGGGCACGGCAGGGAATGGCACGTCGCACGAGGCTCGCAGGCACGTAGGACGGTAGAATCGGTGGTCGTCGCGATGGTGGATGTTTCGAGATGGAAACTTGGGAGCTCAGCGATTCCCGGGATGCCTCGGTAGCAGGAGCAGGGCCGCTAATTGGCCATTGTTCGGCTGCGATGTACGTCCGGGAGGGAGTACGCGGCGAGTACGGCTGCGCACGCTGCAACAGGCGCAAGGTTCAGTGTATTGGGCGAGTACTGGTTAATAAGCCTACGACTGCTAGCACCCTTTTCCGGGGGACCGCCGGTGGCCTGTACCGGATGCACGCACTAGACCGTTAATGCTGCTGCCAAAATTTCATACCCACCGTAGCGCGCTGTGGCACATGCTTGGGCGCTGTGATCTCTAATAATTCGAAGGCATCGATTTCCATCAGTAGCATATACAGTATTGACGTGTTACTTTGTACGCATATGCTGTAGACGGACAGTTGATGTCGTATGATCAGACGGACTGTGGCCAATGCTAAGAGGATTGAAAATCTATATAAAATCAATAATAGCTGCCCTTAGGTCAGAGCCTCATATATCATTACTGAGGGGAGCATCATCCTCAAAACGACCAAAAGCTACATGTACATGTATACAGGTCTGTATAGGGGAGTTAACGTGCTGACCTTCACTGCTAAAGGGAACCAACAGTTGAGACGCCCTTATCGCTTATCGTTGCCGCAACCAGCCCAGTAAATAAGCATCCCCAAGCCCCCAAGGCCGGTGACGTTACTGGTCGATCCAGCCTGTATTTTTTTGCCCCTCCCCAGCCATCCCCCACCTCGCTTCAATTCGCTTCCAGCATCCAAGCCTGCATATCTGCGGCACAATTTCATCTTCAACTCCTGTTGCATCTGACAACTATTCGCCTCCTCCCTTTTCGCACCACTCCCTGCACCAGCTGCGCACACCGAGAAGACTCTCCTTGCCTATCCGCTTCTAGGCGTTACCGTCCCCCATCAGGATCTCCAACAGAAAGAGAAAAAAAAGAAGCACCGCCTCCTTGTCGCTAAAGCCCTCGAGATCTGGTCTGGTGACTCTCGCTCCTGCTGACGACTCTGGTAACCTTGTTTTTTTGACTCAACAAAAAGAGACCCCGAGACCGTGGCTTAAAACATCAGCGATGCGCCTCTTCGCAGAACAGACTAGATAACGCTGGCCAATCCATTTCTTCTTCACCGACGCTTTCCTCTGGTGGTGACATATAATTGAACATTTCGAAATTTGAGCGAAATCGAGATCGAGGGCAGAAAAAATTTGCTATCTACTTTCCCATTTCGGCCTCGCTTTTTTTTTTATCTCGAACCAGCGACAACGTAACCCAGCAAACGGCTGCCTTTGCCTTCCTCTGGGAAAAAAGAAGAAATGGATTCACAAAAGCCCCCGGAATTCATACTGGACGTCTTTACGGATCCGCGATCTGTCCGCGACGTTGTCAAAGGTAAGCTAATTGATCACTACAAGGCGTCGCAAACAGCATCATCTCCCGGGGCTAACAAGAAGTTGCGCAAAAATAACAGGCATACTACATACAATCTTCTTCAACCGCTTCTTCCCCTCTCTCACCCCGCAAACGCACGAAGTCCTGGATGTCACTCTCCCTTACGTCAACGACGATGAGCTCCAGACCATGATTGAGCAGCGCGTCTCCGCACTCGATCGCCAGCTCGACGCAGAACGACTGTCCAACTCGGGCGCGCCAACAAACCGAGACAGAATAAACGGCGCCGGTAGCGGAGGAAGAGGCCAAATCACCGTCCAGTTCTTCGACCAGAAACGACGCAAGCCGTGGCCGTCACTCGGAGTGGAGGAGGTCTGCTGGGAGACTTGGACGATCAAAGTGACTGTTGCCGAGCCAAGGACTGAAAATGGTATGAATGCGACCTTTCTAACTTGGACTACTCAAATCTTTATATATCGGTTATTACTAACCCTTTTGAAATCGCTAGAACGAGCAAAGGTTCGCAGAGCCATGGAGCAGACCCTCTTCACAACCGCCATGAAAATCGTCACCTTCGTCAACACCCACAGAGACCACATCCCGCCCATCACCACCCAAGGCGGCAACCCGTTTCCCTATAAAATCAACGTCGAATCCAAGGAAACCGGCTGGCTATCGCGTATACGAATGTACCACTGAAAGTCTTGGCTTTTTTTTTTCTTTCTACAACAACTTCGAACTGGAGTTCACCCCACCCACTGTCCTCCTCGCTTTTCATCTTTTCATCCATAAAACGCAAAACGCCACGACATTTACGACTCTCAATTTATCACCACTACTTTATTGCAATATCTCAAATCTAAAATACAACATACTACGATGACAAATGACAG